GGGAGAGGAGGGTGGGGGACGCGCGACATGGAAGACCACCGACGCTGGCGCTACCGTGGCGCATCAGCGCGCAATTTTTGATGATCAAAGTGCCCAATTGGTATTGTGGCGCTTGATGCGAGAATTTATGGTTTGCGCGAGGAGGACCCGCCATTCGTGCTCCCTCCCCTCCCTCGCTGCGCTCGGGGGGGCCCCCGAGCCGGGAGCACTCAGGCGGGCACTCTAAAGCCTCGTTCGCGCGATAAATACAGACGGCCTCCCCTCTTGGGGGAGGAGGAGTTGTGAGCAAAGCCTAACCCAAACCCAAGCCCAAACCCGAACCGAACCCAAACCCGAACCCTAACCGAACCCTAACCGAAACTCTAACCGACGCGTATCACTAAGACCGCGTGGGTTGGGAGGTTTGATACCTCCCTGGCCCGATATCCCAGAGGTTTGCAAACCTCGTTGTAGTCTCTACCGAGAATAACGTCAACCGTGCAGTCGTGTACAATGGAACGGAGGAAGAAGAGCAGTACAGACAGGTGTATCCCGCGTCACATCCTTGTCGAGCGACCCACGCGTCTCGCACATGGCAGAGACAAAAGACAATCATAGCCGAGCCGCCGTACAGTACTGTTGCAAGCGCCTGGTGCTGACGCGCATCACATCGTATTGTTTGCGTAGTGGACACGCCCCAACCTTCCATGCAACTGATCAACAATACTCAGCAACAGGCAGAAGGTGGTTACTCTTGTGAACCTTTTATCATATGAGGCGGGCATACATATCATAACCCTGAGGCGTCTCCACTCCAAGTGGGGCCCACCCCACTGCCTACGACCAGTGCTGGAGAATCAAGTGCGCTCATGCTCGCTCGAGTATATATGCTAAAGGAAGAATACTCGGGCCCTAGGACACCCAAACCTACCTACCCTCATGCGTGACCCACGTAGTAAGTCGTAACTGCAGCATGGGGTAAGTCATTGCCGTCTTTGAACAACATTCGATGCATACTCACTTGATAGAACGGTACTAGGTCCGTGATCAGCATCTTCTCTCGTAGGTGTCTTATACCGATACTTACTTGCTGGAGTTCGTACGGCTTACCGACTGTTCGCAGACCTGTGTTACGGCATCGCCAGAGTAGTTTACGATTTCGCAATCGGACTTGTCCGATGTCTATTCTTCAGTGAGCTAGCGCCATTCGCTCTCATGTCTTCCTCTCGCACCTATTAACCACGTCCTCAGACATCGTCGAGCCCATAGTACTCGTCTTTGCTGGCCTAGCGTATGGGCTATGTCTGGGTCTGGCCTTCATCATCCAGTCTCCAATCAAGGCCGCCCAGGATCGGTGGGCCCTACGGCAGAGCCCGAGGACGGTGAGAAAGTGGCGGGACGCAGGAGCTCCATCTCGCTTTCGTCATATTTCTGGATACCAGCACCTCGGCCCCACCTTCACTATACCCTCTCCGTAATCGACTCGGGATTGCGATTCATATACCCGAAATGGCAGTTGCATTGTACTCTACACTGATACCGTTCGTTTCTTTTCCTTCCTTGATCCGCAGCAGTAGCGCCAACGTGAAGAAGAGCTCGCTAGAGCTACCTATGCTACAATCCGTGTACCCTGTCTCTAGCAAATACATATCTCACGAAGATACTTTCGAAGCATTATCCAGCCCTTCTCCACTCAGGCTGGAGTCTTTTTTGGCTACCGCCTGACCGGCCTTTTCCTTCTGCTTCTTCTCAACCCAGGCAGGCGCCTCCATAACCGCAGCATAGGGCCGAACCTTGTACGCCATCAGGTATCCCTGCAGCGTCGCCATCGAGAACGTGCGCGGAGGAATGATTGCAGCGAAACGCTCTGCGAGGGCCTCCGCCTTCTCCGGAGACAATTGATATGTACGCGTTGCGTGTGTCATTCCAACATATACGCTCTTCACGCTTTCAGGCATCGCTGAAGACTGAGGATCGGCGGCGGCAGCGCGAGCTGGGGAGGCCGAACGTGAGTTGTACCCCGAGTCCTTTTCGTTGATCTTCTCATCGGCCTCCTCAGCAGGAGCGTCCGCAGAAGACGTATAGAACCGCTTGAAGAGCTCCTTCGCCTGATACTCGCTCGCAAGGTTGAACTCGATGTGCAGATCCAGCCTCCCAGGCCGCAGCAGTGCAGGGTCGAGCGCCGAGTAGTCGTTCGTAGTCGCGAACAGTATCCGGCCTTCCTGAGCAGCGATGCCGTCCAGCGCATTGAGCAGCCCGCTGAGGGTGACGCCATTGAACAACGTGTCCCGTGTGCTCTTGTTTCCCTTGGAGCCGTCCTCCCTCGGGCTGCCCTCGGCAGCGGAGGCGGGACCGCCCTGCGCCTCGGGATCGGAGATGTCGCGCTTCATCCCGCGCGTGAACGCGGCGTCGATATCCTCGATGAGAACGATACACGACTTCGGCAGGTGCGCGATGAGCGACTTGAGGCTGTTGTCGTCCAGGGCCATCACCGTCAGCGAGAGGATGTAGATGTCCAGCCCGAGCTCGCCCGCGATACTGTGGATCAGAGATGTCTTTCCCGCGCCCGGCGCGCCATAGAGCAGGTATCCCCGGCGGAACGGGATGCCTGTGCAGAGAAAGGAAGGAAAAGGGCGATTAGGTTAAGATAAGGGTGGCACTCGTATCTATACGCAGAGGGCACGCACCTCGGTCGGCGTACCACTTCCTGCTGCTGAGGAAGTCCTTGGCGTCGTCTAGGATGAGCTCTAGGACGCCCGGGTCGAGGATGACAGAAGACGTCGGACGCTTCTCCTGGGTGGCGACCCGCTTCCACCGGTCGGATCTGTGACATCGCGTTCCAAGGTTCGCGACTTGAGCGGCTGACTCGTGCGGCGGCAGCTGAAGCACTCACGTTTCTGCCACATAGACGTTGATCAGGTGCTCGCTCGCAGCCTTGTACTCCTTGCGCGCTTCCATCAGGAGCTCGCGCAGAAGGCGCGAATTGCGTGTGAGCATCCTGCCGAGCCTCTCACGTCAGTCGAGCCCACCACCACAAGATGTCTGCAAGGGCTGGTGCGTACTGGACCTCTAGTCTGACTTTGGGCCTATGCCAGCCGCCCTCATTCTCGCGGTTCCGACTGACAGTCACGTAACGTCTGCGGTACCAAAACGAGTACGTCCGCGAGAGCGAGGGAAGGAACGACACCTGGTCCTCCCCGTCTTCAACCTCTCCGAGATCGTCCGCGCGTGCGTCGTCGAGCCCGAAGAAATAAGTGCTGACTTCAATGCTGCGCGCGGTCTGGAAGACTTTCCGCCGCGACAGCCAATACATCAACCAATCTGCGCGTAGGCCACGATAGTCAGAATACCGGCTACAAGATCCGCAGAGAACAGTAGACGTACCAGCGGCGTCGTCATCCCAATCAAGGGAGACAGTAACCCAGAAGTAGTCTACGATCCCCTCCCAAACTCTCGTAAAGCTCCTGCGGCAAGTTTCGAGGAACGCGCCGATGAGGAGCAGCTTCGCCCAGTCGCGAAACGCCGACATCGAGAAGATCATCATGATCATCTGCGGCAGCGTCATCGCGGCGGCGGTAGGGGCCATTGGCAGCTGGTAGTAGGAGGTGCTCTGGGCTGAAGCCGCTGTTGCACCGGACGCCGTCGGGTGGTCCGCAGCCGCGTTCGCGCCTCCGGACTGGAAGACGGCGAGTACAGTTTGCAGCACCTGTGCTGCGTCCATGGTTTACGGGAAGACACGGACGGCGCGCGTCGGAGAGCTGAGTGCGCGAAAGGTACAGCAAGAGGTGGTACAGAGCCGCGGCGGCTCAGTGGCCTGAACCTGTTGATGGCGAAAGTGGGTGCGCGACGCAGTACTTATACTCTGATGCTCACCTCCAACCTCCGCACATCAGTCATATCTCTCGCACCCGCTCGCCTGGCGCAAGCGATCCTAGTCATCGTGATGTCGTTGTCTATCAGTGCCGCGAGGAGCACAGGTACCCTCTCGGGACCGCACCACCTCGCCTTGATCCTACATAGATTCCCGTCATCCTGCAGGACAATGCATAGTTAGTCTGACCATCGAAGATGGCGCTTTCCGTGCTCTCCAGGCGGAAGGGCGTGTTCAAACATGCACAGCCAGGCTGGGGCCACTGTACTAAGTAGTAGTATCACGGACAATTTGAAAGGCCGATGGATGCGAGGTGTACGCGTGTTATCCCACGTTAGTCGTATACCGTGCTCAGCCCTAGCTTAGAGCTCGAAAGTCTCATTTACATAGGACGGACTGCGTGTGTAACGTCGTGCGAAAGCCTGATTTGCACCGGGGGCATTGGACTATAGGACCACGTGTCCCATCGTAGGGGTATCGCGATCCGAGCCACGTTAAGACAAAGACAGTGCCTCGCCGCGTCCCACATTTGTCTCACACCAGCCGCACACTGCACATTGAATAAAATCAGCATATAACACGGCTTTATCAAACCTCCCAAAGGGGATTACGAAGGGATGCCCAACTAGGTGATTATCCTACAGTGTCTCTGATTACGATGTGGTGGGACACGATGTGCCACAGGTCGGTGCCCCCGGTGTTGGATACCAAGACAGCACTTCCTACGTATCCGGTCCACGACTGCAATCAAACGTCAGTAAGTATCGGCTAGAACATATTGAGGTTCGCCTTCCGGGTGCCCGGGACGAAGAAGCGGTCTAGAGAAGAGGTGTCGTAGGCTCGGTTGGTAGGTGCGAGCTTGGATAGTCCTCCAGATCCGCTTGGAGACATAAATGCATGTCGCATCTCTGCAGTCGGCCGACCGGACCATGGCGAGGAGAAGCTCGAAGCAGAGAACTTCCTCCTCCTTCGCGACCAGCGTTCTCCACGATAGCCTCAGCTATTCTGGTGTGCATCGCTGAGAGAGCGGACACGGGTGATAACAGGGATAACGAACGTGTGCGATTGCGTCTGGGGCTATCTGAGTGACACAGGCAGAAGCGAGACGTGCGCGGATTGGGCGCGAGTATACCATCGGATGACTGGCTATCGTATGTGTGTATGTATGTACTCGTAATTGTAGTTGGTGATCAGCGAGAGACGAGTGGCGGTTTGAGGGAGCAACGAACGACGACAGCAAAACAGGGCACTCGAACGGTAGTACTGTGTATACACCCTTTTGCGGCGCGGCAAGACCCGAGGACCAGCAGAGGTGCTACGAGAGTGGTAGTAGCGCGAGATGGGAAAGCGATGAGAGACCTGAGCAAGCAAGTGTTAAATTGGCAGGGCAGAGGAATGGGTAACGATACAGTACACTCCAATGATCGTGACGCTGAGCGAAGCGTGGAAGCATAGGGGGATAACGAGTGCGAGTAGGTGAGCAGCACCTATGTGACCCAAGACCAGAAGAGGAACGAGAATGACGAGACACAATCAAGACATGGGGCATGGATGTTCGTGTGTAAAGCTAGAGAAGGTGTCGCAGTGGCCAGCCCCTACGGCATCTAAGCGGCAACCACGGCAGACGTCGACGTCGACGCCTACGCAGCACGGTGCACGGGAATGAGGGAAGGCGTCACGATGTGTGCCACAGACATCCGCGCGCCGCGGTTCGTGAGTGGACTGGCGGGGACAGAAGGCCCTGGCGCAGATAAGGTGGACCACGAATAAAGCCGCGGGGTCACGGAAGGCGGAGGGGACGGGGAGGCGAACGAGGGCGTCGCCTGCACGATCTGCGCAGGGGGAGTCGCTGGGCGTGCGGGTGGAGACGCCACTGAGACACGCACGATAGTCGCAGGCTCGGGGGAGGGAGAACGCGGCTCGTCCTGAGGGGGCCAGTCAAGGTACGTCGGCACGCGTTCGCGCGTAGGACGCGTCTCGAGCTGGGCCCCGCGCTGCTCCTGCCCGGGTTCGCGGCCGGAGTTCGTCCTTTCCAGGAGCGAGAGGAGGTACGCGACGCGTTCCTCAGCAGGAAGACCGCGTCCCGCGTCGATCTCCGCGTCGAGGGCCGAGTTGCGCGCGAGAGGCAGGTCGAGGGCGCGCATGATCCTCGCCCTTGTTTCCTCCAGATTCTGGAAGTTAACCCTCATCGTGGCCCGCAGGTCATCGCTGTCAATGTCTGAGACGGCCTCCGTGGGGGTGCCGCGTCCGCTGGACGAGGCCTCGCTGGAGGAGCTGACGTCGATCGGCTCGGCAAGTGGTTCGGTGCGATCGGCTGGGAGCTGGATGCGGTCCGCGGGGTCAATGAAGGCCTCGTAGACGGCATCGTCGTTCTCAAAGAACTCGTCTGAATCAGGGTCGAACGCGTTCCAGTACGTCCACTTTTCGACCGCCGGGTGTTGGGGCTCGGGCTCGACGCGCACAACGGGCTGACGAGGAGCAGAGAAGAGAGGGCGGCCCATGTCTGAGTGATCTTGAAGGGGAAGATGGTGATACAGAAGAGTATTAGGGTGCTGAGTGCAGCTTTTGAGGGGGTATGAGAGCGAAGGGGTATGCGGAGGTGCAAAGACGTGGACGCGCTAGGACAGCAGTTGCAGGAATGGTCCGTCCAGCGTTGGACGACCACCGTCCTCCACATCCGGTTTAGGGCAGGTCCGTGCGTCAGCACCGCCACCTCCGCGAAATCAGGCACATGGTCTGCCGCACTCATCCGCCAGGGAGTTAGAACGGCCGCGAATGGCGTCGGCAACTCCTCCAACCACCTGTTGCAGCGGCCTAGACACTGTGGTCAGGCTGGTGAGCGACGCGAACAACATTAATCGCCCGCAGCCATATGCATTTCTGGAATCTGGCGCGAGGAGGAAACTCGATTGTACCGACCAATCTTCAGATACCCATCGTATGTACTGAACTCGTGGCCGAGAGCATACCCTTGCCGAGGGGCGAAAGCGTAAAGTCTAAGGCATGCGTTCAACGCGCGGCGCCCTCGGTGCCTAAAGACAAACAATACACATCGATCACACAGTGTCTCAGGCGCACCAAGCAATCTGAACTTCCAAGATTGCCTCAGTTTGCAGGGAGATTTACATGATCGGAACCCTCCATCTTCCCCACCTTTGTTCCGCCACTGTGAAGAGCATCGCGGGGACCATCTCCGCCACTAACGCCGCAGCTCGGACGTGATGGAGCTGGCCATACCCCATGGACCATCGCGCTCCCCGTCACAGACAGCAGTGAAGCTATAATACAAGTCTGTAAGTGGGCTATCGTAAGATACATGTACATGTCAGGATCGTCAGGTCGTCATCACGGCGCCCCATATGCAACGATCCGTGCACCCAACCACAAACCCGACACGCAGCCACTATAGCGTGTAGCGATACCCGCTCCACTCGTCGCCCTTGTCGCGCTTCGCATCCGTGACGCTCGCGTACGTCCCGTTCTTCGCGAGCTCCGTCCGGCCGTCGTTGACGCCCTTGATGATCTCGTCGCGCTCGCCCCGCTCGCGCTTTGCGTTCTCCCGCCGCAGGCAGAGGTGGTAGACGATAGCCATGACGAGCCCGATCGCGATGTACATCAGCACAATCCCGTGTCCGAGCCTGTACCACGGCGCGTCGCGGGCGCGGTACTGGTTACGTGCCCAGTCAATACCCAGATAAGAATCGAGAAAGCGATAGACGGGGGAGAGGGAAGAGGTACGTACGACGTTGGACGAGACGGCCCCGTTAATGTTCCCAAAAGAGATGACCATGGCGATCGTCACGCTACGCTTGTACGAGCCCTCGACGTTGTTCGACACCCACGCGATGATGTTCGGGATGCTGGGATAGATCCCGCACGCGGCGAGGTACACAGCGACGTACGACAGCGTCGCGTTGCGCGACGCGATGAGAATAATGTAGCCCACCAGTCCAATGGACAACGAGAACCTGCGATGCCGGTCTCAATTAGCCAAGGCGATCGGGGTGAGGAAAGTGGACGAGTACATGGTGAGGTACCCCCGGTTGCCGTACTTGTCCGCGTAGAATCCGATCACGCAAGTGAGGATACACGCCACGGCGTAGACCGGCACGCTCAGCAGGTTGGCAGGCGTCGCCTTGAACCCAAGCTGGTTGATGATGCTGGGCAGGAAGAGCGAGAACGCGTACAGCGGCCCGTCAGCGCCCATATACAGCAGCACTATCAGAACACAATTGCTTCATTTTCAGTATGCGTCACCACTCTCGAAGGCAAAACCATCACCCACTCCCAATCCAAGTCTTGTAATCCAGAACACTCTTCCAGATGTAGTGCCACCTGAGGCTCTCGCCCGCCGCGCTAAACTGGTCGTCGGACTGCAGCCGGCGCACGACGACGGTGCGCTCCGCTTCGGTTAGGAACTTCGCCGTGTCAGGGAAGTCCTGTATGATGAAGAACGACATCGCGCCCGCGACTACTGTGACAAGGCCCTCGATGATGAAGATCCATGCCCACGCTGGTTTGCCCGCGATGCCGTCCATGTTCGAGATCGCCGCCTGCGGTCATGATCCCGAAGATGACACATTGCGCGACGGCGGCGGGGGCATAGAGCAAGGCCGTCCGATCCAGTTGTTCGAGTCGAGAGCGTTACGAGGTACGCGAGAATTCACCGTTCGAGGCACGCGAAGTCGCGAAGGCACGGAGGGGAGGCCCGATGAATGTACGGTTGGAAGGGGACGAAGGAGAGGATGCTTGGTCAGCGACCTTTTCCCGTCGGCCCCGAACGGACGTAGCCATTTTGAATGGGACATACCGCAAGAAGGCCACCGAACGCGCCGGAGACCGTGGCGGCAGAGAAGAATAGAGCGGCGCGGATGCCGAACTCAGACCGCTTGTACCAACTGCATGAGCGCGTATTATTAGCTCTGTATCCGTGTCGGAGAAGTGGAAACGCAAGAACAGTGCGGGAAGGAGAGTTATCGCGGAGATGCTGAGAATTGGGGTGTGAAGTCCGCATAGAACTTTTGCCAATGGGTGCGGAGGTTCAGGCCCAAATCGTAGCCGTCGCTGTTCCTGGCTTCACGGACGTTTCGTAACATTACGAGACGCGCGCGGGCCCCATGTTCCGACGCATTTGTCTCGAGCGTGGCAAAAAGTGGCCAATGTAGGCTTAGGTGTGCACCGTGCCATTTGGACGTATGTCCCTGGTGCTCGAGTGCGCTGCACATGGCTCGAGGAGTCCAAAGCAAATGAATACCCACCACGAGAGATAGTAGTTCACGCCTGGGAACAGACCGGCTTCGAACATGCCGAGCAGCCATCGCATTCCTAGATGCAGAGAAGAGAAGGTCAGACGGATATGATGATCAACGCGGAAGATGCTCGGGATGGAAGACATACATACCTAGTAGGCCGCCGTAATTATGTACCAGACCTTGTACTGTCTGTCAAGCAGCGCATACAATGAGTACATACATCGCTCAGAGCTCGCAAAGGACGTACCATCATGATGCCCCACAAGAACATGAGCAGTGAAAGCCATATTGACGGGCGCAGACGTTTCAGGAAGACGTTTGACGGCACCTTTGGATACACATGTTAGGCAAACAGCGGAAAGGCACGGCGTGCGGAGAGCTCACACACCTCAAATATCGCGTACGAGAAGAAGAATATCGTGAGCGCGATCAAGTACTGCTGATCTGTAATGTGCAAATCCGCCTCCATGTGATACAGCTGCGCGTACCTCTGCCGTGAGCACACTCCCCTTGCAGCCCAAACGCGATGGACCGAGACGTACCTTAGCATTTCCGATACTCGTGCGGTCCAAGAAGCTCAGCAGATACAGGAACGACAGCCACGGCACCAAGTACCAGTCTAGCTTCCGTAGAAGCTTCTTTTCGTCCACCCCGCTCACATCGACGTGCGCGTTGTACACGTCTGTGTGCAACGCCGCATCGCCCTCCTTTGCCGAGGCACGTTCGACCTCGGAAATGCGACTCTTTTCGTTCGAATAGGTTGATGCGGCGGGAGAGCTGCTGCTCTGCGCAGGGATCGCCTTCTCTGGATCGCGGTCGGTCATGGTGAGAGACAGACGGGTGTTTTGAAGTCGTGTTCAGCGTAAATCGTTCCGTGATTGTGTAGACACAAGCCCGGGTGGAGATAGTCCTGGAGTAGCGATAGAGAAACGCGGCGACGGGAGGTACGGGGAGGAGGGGAGAGACGAAGGACGCGTCGCAGAAACGTTGTGCCCGTCCGCCGACTTATAGTCGCGTTTATCATGTTAGCCTGTCCGGTTATTCTAGGGCCTGGGGAGGAGCGATGATGCAGGGATGAGCGCGTGCCAAACATGCTAATTGCACTGAGCGACCAGTCATGCCGCGGAAAAGCAGATAGCCGGCAGGCCCCCCCTGCCGAGCGCGTTAGAGAACGGTGGTCATGGGTTCGCTCGCAGAGATGATGGAGATGGGGGATTCTGACCGGGAACGCTCGCACTCACACGCCTCCGCAATTGCTGGCATGGACGTCACCGATTCTTCTGCTCCAGGTTTGCACCGCAGCTGGTCGAGTGGCAGGAGTGAGAAAACTCTGCGATGCGCAGAATCCAGACGGTTTCGAGCTGGTAGAGCAGGCAAGTACATACATAGTTGCAGGGAAAGACAGGAAGTTGTGGCGGTGATCTGGCGGCTCCCCCACCGGCAAGGCGATCCTGAACGATTTTGCCGCATTCCGGGGTAGAGCGGGGTATGTGATCACAATCTACAAGTTCTCATTTGACAGAGCTTGCGGCCCGAGCTCCTTAACGGTTTGACCGCCATTATCGACGTCGATCCTCATCTCACGCAAACTCGGGAGTATATTTTTAATGCGGCCGACCTGCCACTCAACATCGTTGTATCGACGAAGCCGACGACGACAGCGCATCGGTCGCCTCCACATGGACAAGTGTGCTAGACGTTAGAGGATAAAGGCAGATCCTTCAACTTGGGTTCGAAGCCCATACGATAGTCCGTCTTAATCCTCCTTAGCTGCCAGCCTTTTCCTGTCCCATTCCTTCCGCCATACCAGGTACTGCGCTTCGGTACCAGCATCCGACCAGACCGACCAGCCGTCCCGCAGACGGAACCATGTGCTCAGGGGGTTCGTAAGGAGCGCGGTCCGGAAACGGCCTAGAGGAGAGTTTGGGAAGCGGACGGGGACGAACTCGGTGAGGAGGTAGTAGAATGTACCGAACGTGACGCCGATGCTGAAGCCATAGAGCACTTGCTTGGGGGTGTGGTATGAGAGGTAGTATCTAGGATAAGGGAAGCATGGCGAACTGGCTGAGTTGGGGCTGAGGACATGGAGAAGGCTGGGACGCACCTAGAGTATGCCACTCCTACGGACCATGAGGTGATGAACGTGAAAAGGAAGATATCGCGCGCCCAGTTGAGCACCTTGGAGCCGGTGGGCACGAAGCGGTGACGTAGCGAGAAGTGGAGGATGAGGAAGCTGAGGAAGTATCCCATCCACTGGCTGTGCGAAGACGGAAAACCGTAGCCATCGCCCAAGTCATCTGCAGGATAGGTAGGGCTTAGGAGAGCATAGCCAGCGACGCGAGTGCACTCACGGTTTGGACGCTCTTCCCGGACTATGTGTTTCAACGCCCAGTTAAAAGCCTCACAGAGCATTTGTCCCGCCCACATCTCCAAGAATACGAGTTCGCGCGTCCACACTGTCAAGACGGCATAAGCCGGCTACGATGCAGCACAGCGAAGCTCAGTCTTGGGCGTAAGCCCGGATGGCGCAGAGGACTCACATTCAGCAAAATGGGGCTCAGCGTCAGTAAAGCCAGTATATACGACGTCGTCGAAGAGTCATCGTCTGGTCACGTCACTATCAATGGCATGATTGGGTGTGTGTCGGGTATGCAGCGGCTGAAGATACTTACACAACACGTAGGTCAAGTCTAGCGCTGCCCGAGAGGTCATATCGTTCGTCGACGCCCCTGACAGGGCGTTTCGTGGGCACTATAGCGTGAACGTGATATAAACGATCTCAGTAGGTGTTGCGGCGAGTGCGAGTATTTAAGCAAGTAGATGTAGATGTCAGAGTGAGTGCATAGAGTGGAAGGTAACGACGCTGCAATAGCACGTTGAAGAGGTTTTATTGCGGTGAATATGGCACATCCATTTTTTTTACTGTAGAAGGCACTATAGCTGAGTGGTAAAGGTGATCGGTCGTAATCAAAAATGTGTCCGTGGCGCGGTAGGTTCGAACCCTGTTTGTGTCTATGGTTGCAGTTCGAAAATGTGATTTTTGAATCCAAAACAGCCAGAACGGGTCCTATCATGAACGCTACCATGAAGGTTTTAACTCACAGTATGTAGCCGTGGCGTGCCATGGTCAAGGTGTCCGTGCATCTCCCGACATAGTCTTCACGGTAGGCAGAATGAATCATCGCGTTAGACCCCATGTACACGCACCCTGCTGAGCAAAGATGAATCTTGAGAACCGGGCTGAACATGACATAAGTACCCATGCGCACCACTTGCAGACCGTCCTGAGATTATGACTATTATTCAACAAGGCTTAGTAAACGCTGCGCTCCTACTTAGGACAATATTGTCGATGAGCCTCGTCTTCCCTACCCATATTGCCCCACTCAGAATCACAGGCCGTCCGCCAACGTCTGCCTCCCAATCAGCCCGAGACGTGCCATCCGGGAGCACATCGAACGACTCCGGGTCGTTCATGTCGACGTAGTCCAGGCGTATGTCCGCCGAGTCCCCAAGCTTGCGTTGCGTCTCCTCGATCACAGCCACCGCACGCGCGACGCAGTCCGCCTTCGACGCATTCGCCTCCCACCCAGACTGTGCAGCCTGCAGTGCGGCGTACAGCGCAGGCGCCGCATGTTCGCGCTCGTGAGGGGACAGGTAGGCGTTCCGCGACGAGAGCGCCAGGGAGGTGCTTGGGTCGCTGTATGTCAAAATGGGGGTCAGAGGTGGGCAATGGTACGCGTGCGAAGAACGCACCGGGCTGTCGGCACGATGAAGAGGTTCTGCGGCTCCGGGTGTGAGAGCAGAAGGTCGCGCGTGAGCCGGCGAAGCAGAAGGGCCTGCTGGATGTCCTTCTGCCCAAAGTACGTACGCGTCGGCTGCGCGCACAGATGCGTTGGTCAGATCCCATCGCCACACACTCGATGATGCAGCCCTACCTCGATGACGTTGAAGAGCTTGGTGACGACGGTCGCGACGCCGCGGAAGAAGTTGGGGCGCGTCCTGCCTTCCATCTGGTGCCCGTAGCCTTTGACCTCGACGAACGTGCCCTTCTGCTCCGCTACGCTCTGGGTGATGCCGCTGGGGTACATCTCGCTCACCGTCGGCACAAAGACGGCGGACGCGGAGCGCGGCCCGGAGGGCGTATCCACGGAGATCGCGGTGAGCAGTTCCAGGTCTCGAGGGAGGGTACGGGGGTACGTCGCGAGGTCTTCATGGGGCGCGAACTGGGCTGGGTTCACAAATATGGACATGACTGTCAGGTCGTTCTCTGCGAGAGAGCGACGTACTGTACAAGGCATCGAGGTTTGGTCAGTGCTTTGTCGGGATGCCGAGGACTGCGCTGTACGCACCGAGAGACAGATGCCCCTCATGCAACGCGCCCATCGTCGCGACGAATCCGACACTCTTCTTCTCATCAAACGCCTTCCTCCTCCACACCCTATACGAGGCGACTGTCGGAAAGAGCGGGATGGGGGATGGCGGGAGTCCGGTGGTCATGTTGCGGCAAAAGAGTGCAAGTGCGGGGCTAGGACGTCGAGCGATTGAACCGAAGAGACCGAGCCGCGCCAGAGCACGCATCGACGCAGACCGACAGGAGACCAGAAGGAGCAGGGCGGGTGGAATGAAGATCTGGTGAAGATGCCATGGTGGATGTCGGACGAGGATGAAAAGCTAGATCCGGGTGAGATCCGCCCCTCGACCGACACCGCGCGCGCGACACACGTGATATCATGTGCATCCTCCCGTCGCGCGTGCCTGAGTTCGCTCCAAAGCTAGCCACAACGTCGACACAGCGAGGTGTTTGCAGCCATGCATGCGCAATCTACACCATTTACTACACAATAGGCCCAAATTAACCCCGTCTCTTGTCCCAACGTCCGATGCTCTCCGCCAACAGCCAAGAACACCCTGCTTGTCCAGCTGCGCCTTCCTCCCTCATGTATACAACCGAAATTGTGTCTTCCGCGTCTACGTGGGGAGCGCGGAGTGAAGGATGCGCTTTGAGAGGATCGTCCGGTATGTAGGTTACTGGGGATGTCGGGACGGCGTGCGCAGTGACGGACACGAAGCTAGGCGAGGCGACGTTCGGTGATCTGCTGGGCATCTTGTTAAGTTTCACTCTACACGGAATGCAGAAGAAGCCGTACAGGATGGTCTCAACAACTTGACTCAAGAATTCCGAAGTGATCAAGCCGGTCCATCCGATGACGGTGAGGTCGCCGACCTGAGATGGGTCCGGAGGCGCATAAACCGAAATATATGGATCGCAGCGGTCACCCGCTGATAACCTGGCTGCATGTCAGCCGTTGGTATATGGAGCACCAGCGAATGCGAGCTGACCTCTGGGAACCCAGTGCCGCCATCCCGACCCATTCAAACATTTCCGACACTGACTCTTCCCAGTCTTCTAATGGATCCTCGTCGTTCTCTTGTAACATCAATGTATCGGCCGTCACGTTCGGTATATACGTGTTTGTTCGCTTCATAATGTTCGCATGAAGCTTCTGGGATACACCACCGGCATGGATCGTGCTGTCTGTACAACGAAGGCGTGTGAGTATAGCTCGAAATCGACTTACAGGATGCTATATGCGCGAGGTCACGCCTTCATCTCAAACTGTGTAGCTTGAATCCATGCCGTGTGCATACACACAATCGGACCGCCCATTCTGCGGACGTGATACGTACCCGCATCTTTGATGGAATAGGTGATTTTCCAGGGGCCTCTGTGCTCATCCCATCGCCGCAGAGCCTCGGCTTCCTTGATGCCGTACGTCGGCCAACGTTTGAAGGCTCCGAACTGCGTTCTTTTGTTCACGCATATGCGAATCACTGTATGCGTAATAGGAGCCGTCAGTGCTCCGTGCCAGCTGGATACTCAGTTCCCTACCGCGCGTGTCGCAGCATTCCTTCCATGGGAGCGGCTCACCCACGATTCCGAGAGTCTCGTAAGTCTGCTTGCCCACTACCAGCGTAAGGATGCCTCTCGGATCCAAACACCAGACGTCGCCGTCATCATCGGTAGAGGCTCCCAGTGCTGAGACCTTGCTTGAAAAAGAGAGAGTTGGTAAGCGTGCTGTAATTCCCTGAGGCAGCGGCAGTCTCAGTATAGCACCCTAGGTACAAGATGCGTGGGAATTGTGCTGTAGCACCCGTCCTGCATCCTCAAGCAAATGTCTGCACAGACGTAGTCTGGGATCATCCGGCGTTGTCAGAATTCCCCCTCAAAGACATCTGGGACTTGCCAGGGTGCTCTGCCGATACACAACAGAGTATATTTGGTAGAGCCTAGGGCGAGAATTCTTGGGCTATCTGACGTTCGCTCGAGATACAGATGCGAGTATTCTGAGTGAAGTGGAGCGTGTGGATATTTGCTTTGAGCGAGTGCGTGTCAAATATACTGGTACGGTGGTATCCCGGATGCCATGAGCGCTAAACCTACCACCCATCGCGCAGGCATCCCGCGGTGCGCGTGTAGCACTGAAGGGGGAGGATCCTGAACACTACTTTCCATCATGGGAACTCACGGCATAAACAAGTCTCTCTCAGGACACAAATTATTCTGCAGCAGCGTTCTCTCGAGGTCAAGTGGAGCACGATCTCGAGCGATCTCAACTCCACTTCGAGCCTCGGTTTTGTGGCCCAGGCTGTGGCAAATATACTCTAACATCGCGAAAGGATCGTGGCAAGAGAGTACCTTTCTTGTGCGTACGGCTTAGCGAACTCCAAAAAGTCCGACAGAGAGGACGCGCACGTCTGATAGGTGAAGTCCAAGCCTCTCAAGGCGTCCTCGAGCCCCGAGTTCGAGGGGAATAATACGTCAATCTACGCGAACCGAAAAATTTGGGTCAGCTTCTAGCCACCGAACTCATTGTTTGTGAAGCACCTTCCTGCTGCGTGAACGGACGAGATGACGCGATGGAGTGGATCCTGGATGTACCTGTTCCGCTGGTGACTAGCGTCCGTTTTTCTTCCAGCGGAGCCATACTCTGAGAAAGGTCGTGGTAGGGAGCAGATGATGGACGGCAGGCTGAAGGCCAAACCATATCGAGCCGTCCGGCTTGACCGGGTTCGGGTTGAGCGCCAACCGGGATACGTTTCCTGTTGCCGGGTGGTGCTCGTGGGTACATGGCAGAAATGTTTCGGGCTATTCTGCCGGCCGATATGGCAGATATGGCAATTGCCATGGTCGGCAGAAACTGGCAAATATTTAAGCGCCTCCGTGGAGAGACATCGAGTCTGGAGTTAGTTCCTCTTGACATACATTCATCAGAGTGCCTTAGGGAGTACCTGAAAACGTTGTCAGCTTACCAGTAAGCCTCAGATGAGGCTTCAAAGCTTTCTGAAGGGGTGTAGTGCATGACGAGCGGCGTAGGCTGCTCCTCATTGTTCTAGCGCCGGTCACACTTTCACCAAAGAACAAGGTGAGAGCAATCAGCATCGTCCTGAGCCCACAGAACGCAGTGCTGTGGAAGCCGTCACATACTAGTACTTTTACAGGGCTTTTGTATGAATAGCCAGGCATCAGAAGCCCGCGGGAACCACCCCTAAGACCATTTTCTGGTATGAGCGCTGAATATATCTGCCAGTATTTGCCAGTGCAGGCCCGCTGGCAGAACGGCAATTGCCACTGGCAGAATGGCAGGGGCGAATGGCAGCATTCTGCCTCGTACACTACGAATCGTGGGGGACCTTGCGCTGACTGCAGCCTGCGATGCCTGTCTTCCGCTGTCACTCTCCTACCATTCAACTCTACCGATATTTGACATGAGACGTATCGCACCAGTTTCACGTGGCACATGCCGTCCATGCACTCAGGGAAGCCCAAGGATAGCAGCGGCGATGGGTTACTATCCCTCAAGGGGTTTTGCAAAACCCCAAGCTCTCCCTCCCCTCCTAATGCATGGCTCTGATATCTCAAACACATAATACTACACCCATTTTGATATCATCTGTCAACTTTTTTGGAGCCAAATGAGCTGGAGGACGCCTTTGCGAGCAGGAGACATTTAGTTACACCTCCAAGCGAGTTGACGCCCAACTTGATATACAGATCTCTCTTTGTCTCTCACTGAGAAAGCTCAAATATCTTTCTGTATGAATTTATGGGTGCATTTTGGATACTGAAATCATCCCCGATAGCTCCAAAGATAGGTAGACATCCTAGGGAAGCCGTTTCTTGCAGGCGCTTATGGGTTTTGCAAAACCCCTTTCACGTAGGTGCTCGGAACATGGCATCCCCATAGCTCGCGTTCAGCTCCACAGAATCTTACGAAAATTGGAGGACATATGATAGATATCAGTCTCAACAATGCCTGAAGTTTGTGGGATACATAGACCACTAAGTATATACCCAAAGCCGGTGTCGCATCAATCACCTATACTCAATCTATTGTTACGATGAGGAGCTTATGAGGTGAGAGAAGCAATGACGTATAAATGGTGAGGAAGCAGTCAAATGTGTGGAGGTAGTGAACATGGGGTGCCTTCTCGGACCTTGTTCCCTGCTCACCGAAGTCAGAGGCACCAGTCTAGACGCCTGGGCCTGCGGAGGACCGTGGTCAAGCGGCCTCCAGCGTGCTCTCGATGGCGCCGGATACTGCTCAGGATGGCCCGTTTCTGCCTAGCGTACGCCACTACAGGTCTTCAGACCAGGTTGCGCAATTAGGCATCTGTAAACAGCCTTGTCTCTTGCCTTGCCTTTGGTGGGCTTCTTCTCCATTCGTGGACAATTTTGTTCTCACCGCGATCCTTCCCAGTCTGCTGTTCCTTACTCGCTGAGGAGCGGACGTCGAATTTAGCTCTACGATTGGTCGCCAAGAGGCTCGTATGAGCTCATCCGAGCCGGAGATGGACTGGACGAACCGACGTCTATCCTTGTGCGATCAGTGTAATCCCTGGCAAGGGGCTTGCGGCGTACCGCACTCGAACCTTGTGTCAGGTCAGCCGTGGCCGTCGCAGGACCTCCGCATGGCCATGTGCTCGCGCATATAAGAGTTTCCTTGGAGCCCTTCCCGATCACTCCTTACCCCAGGTGCGTCTATCCTCCCCAATTCGACAGTATTCATCAGCTCATCTTCAGCATAACAGACCATAAACCGACCATGTCTGTCCCTCGAGGAACGACCTCTGCCCTCCCGAACCCACACAGGGCGCTTTCCTGTTACGACATCCTATGCATGATCTTCGACCATTTCGAGCGAGAAGATCCCTGGTACGACCACGACACTTCTATTGGCGACGCGAACTCTTGGTTCGCTCGACAGGCGGATGCCCTCCGCAAACGTACCCTCGGACGATGTGCACTCGTGTGCAAGGCCTTCTCCGACCCAGCCCTCGCCATTCTGTGGAGGAACATCGACAATTTGTCGCCTTTCCTGTCTGTTGCGCAGTCTTCCCTGCGATCCATCCCTGGGTCAGCCTTGCAGGTGCGTTCGGCATCGGCCGCTCATTACGTTCTTGTTTTGACATGGCTTCTTGATACTCGATAGGTCGTCCACCTCGCCGAAGCAGGCACGCGCGTTTCGCACTATGCGCGACACATACGCGCTGTCTACGGTCTCGGAACGACGCTGCAGGCGTCTGCACAGAATTTGTCACTTTTGCAAACTGGCACGGCGTCAGCGCCTCTCCTCCCGCAACTTCAACGTTTACGTTGGGTGCAGGTCGTACCATCTGGAGACGAGCTTTTGCAATTCCTCTCTCCTTCGGTCCATAGCCTCCATATCATCTTTCGCAAGGCGCCGACGTGGAGCGAGTGTGTCTCCTTGCGTGGCCAACCCTCGGAGTACGAGGTCTACATACGTACGCTGCTCAAGGAGGTAGCCTCGAGGGTCCCGCAGCTACGCTATATTCGTCTTAGCACCACTGGCGACATCCACGAGTCCTGGCTTGAGCCTCTTTGTTCCCTCAGGTACCTTGACACCGCCGACCTGCTCGAGCGCATTTACTGTGATGTAACGACGTCACCGCTATTACGTCCGCTTGGCTCGCTTCAGGGCCTGCGACACCTGAAACTTCGCCTGCCTGCGGGATTACCGCAAGACATGGAGCGCGAGGCTTTCCCTGCGCTGGAGAGCCTTGTGCTAGACGCTATGTTTGCGCCTCTCCGGACTGTCTCAGCGTTCCTCTCCGGGGTTACGTCTCGGCATTTGTCCTCCCTGCTCATACACGGCTGCGAGTGCGACACCACCACCGTCTCCTCGACCCTATACGAGGTATGCGACGTCGTGCGCGCACGCTTTGCTCCTTCTCTTCGGACGCTCGAGCTGGCGTTCCGGGGAGTCGGCCCCGTCGTAACTCACAACCAGCCCCTCATCCAGACCATCGAACCGCTGCTAGACTTGCACGACCTGAACGACGTCTCAATCTCGATCGCCCCAGAAATCGCGATCGTTCCCGCAACCGAGCACGATCTCGGCAGGATGGCCGAAGCGTGGCCGAAGGCGACCCGTCTGCACCTCTCCTACCTCCCCTCGGCCGCGTCGCCCTCGCTGAAGGACATCGCGGGGTTCGCACAGCGCTGTGTGGGCTTGACGGACCTCGTCCTTCCCGGGATCGACGCGTCCGCGTCTGCGTGCGATGTCAAGTCGGAGACGGAGCTGTCGTCACTCGCAGCAAAGTACCAACAGGGAAAGGCGGCGCCGCACAAGCTGCGCTCGCTGTGCCTGTCGGACAGCGGGTGGAACTCGCAGATCCCGGACCCGATGCTGCTTGCCAAGTTCTTGGACGCGCTGTTCCCGGAGGTCGAGTGGAAGTGCCCGCCGCTCGCGTCGGACCACTGGCGGGAGACCATCCAGGAGGTGCTGAACTTGCGCATCATGCGGATGGTGCGGGAGAGAGGTTCGTTCATCCGTGCTTGAGGCTGCCTTCGTGGGTATGCTGACGCGCTTCGGTTGCGTAGCGTGATGCCCGTTCCGAGCCTTGCAGCAGCTGATTGTATAGTCCCAACATCGAGCGCTTTCGCGAGACTTAGCCTATCCTCCTTATAATCATCGTACGCCCACTTATCAACCAGATCTGTCTATGTGCTCCTAGCACTAAGTGCATGTATGTGTAAGACTGGCGAAGAGCAACGAGCAGCGCTACCAAGTTTAAGATTCATCATAGAAACCGCTGTTCAGGGGCGCTCACCTGACCACGGATATTGAGCCCGTGGATGGACGATTCCGTCGATGGGCTTGCTTGTCGCTACCCTAGGAACCGCCAGTTTGGTATGGAGCTCGCAGTGTCCGTTTCTCGTCACGTCATAACCCAGACGGTCGTCATCTGGCCATCATGAAGCGCCGATGCACATCAACGCCACTATGCGGCTGAAACCGACGGTCGTGGAGGATCTGAACCATAACAAGTTCACGGAACAAGGCCGTAGCATGTGGCTGGCCGTACAAAAGGAGCTTGCACTGATGTCTACTCACCATACCCCTTCACTGCAGCTACAGTTCTTCTTGAACCCCCTGACGTTGTTCGGAAATGTCGCTCGGCCCGACCCTCGCACTTGCCAACCAAGACGTCCTCTACACCGTCTTTGAGCATTTCGTCGCTTCAGAGACGGCGTGGTACGACTTTGATATCATGACCCGTAGGGTCAAGTCTGTCGACGATCCAGAGGAGATCGTCCGAAGACGAACGCTGGCGAGCTGTGCTCGGGTTTGTCGAGCATTCCTCTTCCCCGCGATGACCATCCTGTGGCGGGATCTCGACAGCCTTGAGCCCTTGAATGCATTGGTACAACACCGCGCTTCGCAAGTAGGTCGCATATGCTCTGATATTTTAGGCGACGCTAAGGCAGAGTTTCTTATCTAGGTTACGGAGTCAATGTGCCTGCCATGGCTGCCAACCTACGCTCAATACTCACGATGGGTGCGCGCAGTGCGCAATTCCTGGACAGCACCATCTCCACTACCTTCCTGCGCATCGGCCGATGTTGGACAGCCACCACTTTCACTCTCGCGCCTCGTACGATTACGCTGGGTGCAGAAGGTGCCGGGCACAATGGACCTCCTCCAGCTCCTATCTCCTGCACTGCATTCCTTACACATAGTATTTCGTGGCGCCCCCGCCTGGGACCATCACCGACGCTGCGAGTATCAAACCTTCGTCGAGACGCTGTTGCTGCGAGCCGCCGAATCCGCGCCCTGTCTCACTTACCTGCGCATTACCAGAGGGAACGGGATCCTTGAGGATTGGCTGCGTCCGGTGTGCCGCTTCTCCCGGGTCCAGGTCCTAGACATTCTAGAGCCAGCTTACGACGCGGTCACGACGTCCGACCTCCTCCCCCGACTGGGCGCGATGGAGAGCTTGAGGTCCCTCAAGCTCCGCTTGCCCGCCGCCGTCGGACACGCATTCGACAATGGAACTCAGAGCTTCACTGCGCTCAGGGTCCTCGATCTGGGGAGCAGGTTCGCGTCGTTGCATGACGCCATAAAGATGCTTCGCCTGGTCTCTTCCCCGTATCTCGAATCGGTCCACGTTGACGGCTGCGAGTGTGAGACCGGGCTCCTTTCCGCAGGCCTGCACGACTTGTGCACCGTCCTGGACGCCAGGTTCGCCCCAACCCTCCGCACCATCTCCCTCTCGATCACCCCGATCGGCTCGCCTATCGCCTTCGAGCAACCCTTGGTGAAGTATCTGATTCCCCTCCTCCGGATACGTCACCTCGCCGACGTCCGTCTCCACCTGGCTTCCAAGAACGTCTCAGTCGTGGTATCGGTATCCGACTTTGTCACAATTGCGGAGTCGTGGCCCCATCTCGAGCATCTCGAGCTCAGTTACGTCCCCTCAGGAAAGGCACCTTCGTTACGGGCGCTCATACCCCTTGCACGACTTTGTCCCTTCCTAACCCATGTTCAACTGCCCCGGATCGATGCACGCGATGTTGAGATGGCTTCGATTCCTTCTCACCGTTCCCTCATGTCTTTCTCCATCTCCGACGGTGGTTGGGATAGTCTGATTCCAGATCCTCAAGGGGTCGCTTATTTCTTGAGGAAATTGTTCCCCAACGCAGAACTAGGCCGACCACATCTCGCATCCGAGCAATGGTGTCGGACGGTGAAAGAGTTCAGAGATTCTCGGGCTAGGAAGGATCGTGGTAATGATCTGGTCTATTGCTGGACATCGCTTGTGGTTCTGGAGGTTGGTCATTCCCCATGTAATTGAGAAGACCCCGTCTAGTATAATTAATAGGGGTAGTCAAAGATGGCGGTTCGGTGGACGATTCGAGGGAACGATTCGGGAGACGATTCGAGAGGGGGGGGGAATCCGCGATTCTGGCAGAATCGCGTCGAATCGCCGGTGCGAGTCTGGAGGAGCACCGCCCACCCGAATCGCGATTCTCTGCACTCCAATATTCCCTCAGCCCGACTTCGGATAAGCCCTCTTAAACTAGGTTATATGTCGAAATTTTATTGGGGGGTGTCTTAGCACGTCTTACGAGCGACCATGGCCCTACTGCAAGCTTGCCGCTTCTCTACTTTTATCAGAATTGCTGGTCTACAGATTCCCTCCACCTTGAAATGTCCGATCAGACCGAAAACCCTACTTTCAGAAAGTCTGGCCGTCTCACTTGGCAACCTTCTGCTGGCTCTGGCACGAAGACCGGGAATCAAGTGCGCCGTGTGTCTTGTTGATGAAATATATATATTTTCTCTGAGGTCCCAAGAGCTGTAACGAAGCATAGTAGGGGGAAGAGCAACGCGGCACACGGAGAGAAACCATCGCGCGAGGATGCATGGATTACCTGATTTTGATATCACAGACGCCCGAAGGCCTGACCGACTCAAGTATTTACCCTAGTGGAATCGACCCGTAGAAACGTGGGGTGGTCAAAGTGCACACACGGATCCAGGACGATTCCCTTCGACAGAATCGCTGCAGAATCGCTCGACGAACCGTCCTCCGAACCGCCATCTTTGACTACCCCTAATGTACTCCGATAACATGGCGAGACGTGAAACGTCGACATGGTTCTCAAACGAACATGGCCCACAGAAATTTGGTGGTGGCCTAAAAATATATATGAGTCGGCCCAGGTTCGAACTGAGGACCTTCTGTGTGTTAGACAGATGCGATAACCAACTACGCCACCGACCCAGTTATTAACATGAACAGAAAATTTATCATACAACTGTCTTGACTCAGTCGCACTGAGCCAACCATCGAGGTTTACAACATTAGATTCGGTCTCCGGGCCAGTCAGGAATGCACGATGGCTGACAGAAATTACACGGTCGAGCCTGATAAATTTAGACCCCATACTACAATCGATCCGTCGAGACCAATCGCTATGGGTACCCTCGCGCTCCTGCTCGTCCTCACACTTTCAGCGTCGGCCAACTCCACCCTCGGGATCGCATGTACGACCATGAACGACCGCCTGGACGCCGCCATAGGCAGGTTCACCAGCGACTGCGACGACGCATCCTTCTGCTCCGGAGTCGATGGGGCGAACGGGACCTGTCAGCCGCGCCAGTGTCGGCGCGACGAGTTCCCGTTCGGGTTCGCGAATGCGAACGCGACGGTGCCTCCGCTGTGCCCCCGCGGGTCGTACTGCCCGGACGAGGGCAGCGGGTGCAGACCGCTCGCCGCGGTGGGCCAGCCGTGCCAGGCGGGCAGGGACGAGCAGTGTGCCCCGCCGGGGAATTGGCAGGATTTGGCGAGCGGGCTGAACGCGAATGGGTCGGTCTGCTTGAACTCGGCGTGCATGTACGCCCGCCGCTCTTTGAGTTGTTTAGGGGATCGCTGATTTGGGAATGGGAGGATAGGTGGGCAAATATGACACTGGGTCAACCATGCAACCACGAAGTTATGGTCTACAAGGACAGCACAGGGTTCAGCAACACGATAATAAGACACAACTGCCACACACCGAGATTCTACTGCCACACGGGTTATAACGTTTGTATCCCAACGAAGTATTTGGGGCAGGCGTGCAGCGCGGATCAGGAATGCCACTCGGTGAGGGGCTTCTTCTCAGTGCTATCAGTTGAGTACTGAGTCGCCTTGACTAGTATAATTGCGGACAGAAGGGCATGTGCATCGACGAACGGGGGACGCCTAATCGCGTGAAGGCCTGGCAGCTCGTGATAACTTGTCTGAGCGTCGTGTCAGGTAGGTCGAGCAGATATCAGCGACATCCGCATGTTGACATTGTCTGCGAATCGGCAGTGATGGTCGCAATTGTTGTTCTCCTAACGTTGGTGCACAAGCGGTTGCGGTTGAGACGACTGATGGAGATCCGAGAGTACTATGAAGAGCAAGTAACGTACGTCGTCCGAACGGGTCATTCTGATCGCGGGCGTTCACAACCATGCCAGCTTGCGCAGGGCTCTTGCCTCGCTACATTCTGCGGCTGCCGATCAGCACGAGAAGGAAAGGTGGTTTGATTGAGGAAGCGGAGGATTTTTTGTATCTGTGGGATAGCCATACTGGGGAGAAGCGGACTCGTGGATCCGCACGACTGGGGGTGCGAGGTTCGCGGTGGAACGGGACAGGTCTATTTGCAAAGCAAGAGCAGAAACGATATATAAGAACACATAACGTACAATTGGGCCATAATCCACCTCTATGAGTCCATGCCATCCACCAAGGTAATATGATATGAAGTTCCCTGAGAGAAGTTCTCAGCTACTTGGACGACATGGCGTAGCCGGTCGTGTCGAGCACTTGCTTGCCACATATTGCGCATACACCTCGCTTATATGCGCAACCTGACGATGTCACATGAGCGTCCAGTAGTGCCCACGATGGAAGATGGACGCACCGTGGCAATACTTGGCTTTATTCTGCGTTACGGTGGATTTACAGTCCTTGCATTTACCTTGATAGGGCTAGGAGTGCCGCAAGTCAGCAAATGTTACTCCAATGCGATGCCAGAGTAATACACACCTGGAACCTGTTCCTGGAGCTTCCTGGCCGTGTCAAGAGCTTGTTCTCCCCAACCTTGCGCGAGCCCTCTTTGATGGCTTGCGAGGTCGACTTGAAAGGATCAGGGGCAGCGAGCTTGGATGTTTTCTGCAGGAACAAACGTCAGTGTCTGCTCTTCTTGCTACCAACGAATAGATTTCCGCTTACAGTTTCGCATTTCTTGCAGACCATGGTCGCGGGTAGGAGGAGAGGGGAACGAGTGGCCCGCGTCGTCATTCATTGGATGCCTGACACAGCGGTCCACTTATGTCAGCAATTGAAGACACGTGACTATCGGCTCTCGGAGCGCAACTCAGTTGTTTGACTTGGCTCTCTCTCTCAGTGGTGGTGCCTCGCACCTTTGCCTATCATGATCTTTTGCCTTGAGGTACGCAAGTATCGCGTGCCTACCGGGTACTATCGTGGGACTGAATGGCCACTTTCTCAGTGTTTAGGGCCAAATTACCGATCTTAACCCTCGTTCCCTCACGCAAACAACGTCGTGGTCACTGCACCCATGATTGACTGTGATGCAGGATGTCATATGTGTGACCCTTTCGCGGTCCCCCCTCGCTGAAGCACGCAGCCGTCGCTGGATTGCGGGGGATAATCGGGCCCAGGGTGTTGCTCGCAAACTATGATTCGAGCTCTCGAGGTCGTTCTACAGGTCTTAGTCATGCTCAATCGGGCCGCTTCCAGTCTAAGTTGCGAACTTAGCGGCTTGTTTAGGCAACTTCCACGCCCTTAATCCGCCTTAGTGGTGCGTCTACCAGAGAGGTGAGTTCCCTTCGAAGAATTCTTGATGTTCGGTTGAATGCATCATATGACGAAGCTGGCAATTCTACGCAGGGGCCGGGCCCTGTCGGTCCATTCAGGCATTACCCTTATTGTGGTCTGAACTTCTCGAGCGCAAATTGAGTCGCGGAGTTCCAGCTGCATGCGGAGACAGGCCCATATATGCACGATCCTGAGAATTCCTCCCAGGGTTGACCTTTACCCTTAAGGCTCACTTCACAGCACATCCTGTCCCTTGCTGTTGTCGCTTGTGCACTCCCTTATCTTGCTAGTTATGTTGTCTGAGTTCATTGCGAGCGCCGACCCTACGCTCGCAACACTTGCAGGAACCTCATGGTTCATACTGGTACTCGTTTACATACGTTATCTAGCATCGTGGAAGACGCCATCTCGCGGTCTGTCCCCTCCTCCGGGACCTCGTCCCTTCCCGATCATTGGCAACCTACTTGACTGGCCGAAAGCCAACCAGTGGGCTACCTTTCGAGACCTAGGCATCAAATATGGTGAGTAAACCGCAGTGCCGCTCTTCTCATGTCTCATGCCACTTTGAACAGGCGACGTACTGTACCTGAAATTGCTGAACCAGGATACAGTCGTTCTAGGAAGCCCTAAGGCGATCACCGAGTTTTTGAATAAAAAGTCTGCTAACACGTCAGACCGACCATCGTCGGCAGTGTCTCATTTGTGGGACTCCTCGCTCTCTCCAAAAGCTTTTGACGTTGATCACACTCTCAGAACCGGTTTGGACATCAACTTCTCTGGTATGCCATACGGCCAGCAGTGGAGGCGACACAAACGGACATTTTGGCAGCACTTCCATCCTGGGGCCCTCCCTGCTTATCAGCAGACGCAATGCCACGCGGCGCACAGATTCCTGAGAAGATTGCTAGAGAAACCGTCGAAGCTCAGAGAGCACATACGTTTGTAGGTATCCAGGCTGCGTACATGGATTGAGACTTTCACAATATACTGAATATCTGCCACAGCGCCTTCACTACGGCCATCGTCAAAGTTTTATTCGACATCGACGTCTCCGACGAAAATGACGAAATGATGGATATAGTCGAGGCCGCATTGGCATGGACTGGCGAAGTGTTTACGCCAGGGAAATATTTGGTCGAAGTCCTCCCGATTCTCAAATACGTTCCTCCCTGGATCCCGGGGGCGACACTGCAGAGGCTATCCGTCTACTACCGGTATACCATTGCCCGACTGAAGGATGTACCTTATGGCAGGGTGAAGGCAGCCTTAGTGAGCGACAGAGCTTGCTTCAGAACGCGTATGCCTAATTGTGTTATGCCTAGGCTCGTGGCGAAGGTGCGGACTGCGTGGTAGGAAAGTTGATCAGGAAGATGATCAGCGAAAGGGACGGGTCAGCCACAACGGAAGAGGAGAATATTATCAAGAACGTGGCTGCCGTATCTTTGGAAGGTGCACTTCGTCTCTATCATGTCTCAATCATGCGCTCACATTCATCGTCAGCTGGCTCTGACACGGTACGTTTCACCACCCTTCAGAAGCCCTTAGTGTGGATTTTACGTATCAGCGTAGATGTTCTCGACGGTGCAGACCGTCTTCGTAGCGATGTCTCGTTACCCCGAGGTGCTGAAGAAAGCTCAAGCGGAGCTCGATGCTGTGCTTGGTCCCAATCGCCTGCCTGAATTCAGCGATACCTCATCGCTTGTCTATGTCAACGCTGTTATCAAGGAGGCATTGCGGTGGCAAGTGGTGGTGCCTTTTTCCCTTCCACATATGACGACCGAAGACGATGTCTTTCGCGGATATTTCATACCAGCTGGGACGGTCATCATGCCAAATGTGAGGTGAGTGTAGTCAATTGAGTCATCTTGTTCACATCTTTGGTATTCATATAAACCAGCGCCTGTATGCATGACCCTAATATATACGAGGATCCGTACGAGTTCAGACCCGAACGCTTCATCCACAACGGGAGATTGGACTTCAGCAGCGCACCGGATCCTGCCTCATTCGTCTTCGGTTTTGGAAGAAGGTGTGTAGCGGCCCTACACTTAGCGTCATGACGCCTTCATGTTGTTCTTGCTGATATATGCCGACAGGATCTGCCCTGGGCGATACTTCGCGGAGAATGGGTTGTTCATCAACGTCGCTTCGGTCTTGCATGTCTTCGACATCACCCCTCCAGTGGATGACCAGGGGAACGTGATCGACATCGTGCCACAGGTCACAGATGGTCTCCTCTGGTATGCTGCGAGTATCGAACATGCGATGCCTACGCTGACATCGTTGGAAAGCTATCCTGTTGACTGTCGATGCACCATTCAGCCCAGGTCTGCCGAAGCTCGAGCCTTGGTTCAGGCAGCGCAGACGGTCGGTTGAGTCACTCGATTCGAACTGCGTGCAAGAATCCCAAGCTGGACACTAACTCCCTTGAACGAAGGTCTGAACGACGTCGACTTCTTGGCAGTGACACGAGCGACCCATCCTGGTGATATGAACGGACCGTAGCCACGCGCGTTTGATATCCCCTCCACACCTTTCTCGAATGACTGATGGGTCAGTTTATGTAGTCCAATAGAGCCCCATCTACCCCGGCTGCATTAACTCCGATGAGATGGCTCGGAACCTCCTCAGCTCCTTCACTGCCACCATTGCAGTGCCCCTTTCGACACGTACGGTATGATGCCGTACTGCTGGCGGCCTATGTTTGCTGCGCAGGAAACCGATCCCCTCTGAGAGTGGTTACGAACTCGAAGTAGCATCTGGAGAATAACCGTTCAAACCGGCTGGTGTAGATAGTCATGATATTGTGACATCGATAAGTCAGCGAGTTATTCCCGATTTACATACAATTGAAACCAACATAGTAACTTCCGTCACCGTGTGGCTCTCATCTAAAGCTCTCGTTCTTGAGTTATGTTGGCATATACGCACGGAAACAGTGTTTGTGGTTGCAAGATCGTTCCTGATGCGGAGAGCGCAAAGACTCGTTTCCACCGCTACCAAGGATTCACGATAAGCTAACTACTCGTGTAGTGTTGTACAGGATAATATATATATGAACCACTCTCAGAACCAGGAGTCCCTTCCGCACCGGTAGTAATCACTGGTAGCGGTGTCATGGTTCGCATATGATATTGTCATATCTTTGTCCATGAGCTATCAGCCATCTGATTCCGGCGGGTCCAGTGAGGTCGTGTGGAATTCAAACTCCTCAATTTGCAATACACCAGATTTTGTGCAACACACATAGTAGGATTTGGAGACTGCTGCATATAACAAAGGAAGACAGACGCCTCAATTTCGGGCTTGTGCGAAATTCACATCGTGTATGGCTGTACAGTGCAACCCTCAGACAAACCACACATTACTAGAGTTGACTATTCAAACGGACTTGAATGAACAACTGCGCTTGACGAATTAGTGCCTCAGCCTCTGGAGAGCGCGGCTTGATGGTAAATCAACATTCTACAAGATAGCTAGTCACGTTATGAGCACATACACACAACAGCTCGCCCGAGTATTGAGTGTTGGGGCTTACCAGAGAAGTCCATCCGCCATCATGATGTCTCCATGTAATGCGATGGGTTTACCGTTTTCGTCCGCGGGCGGTGTGATGTCGAAGGCGTGCAAAATGAGAGCAACGTTGACGAGCAATCCATTCTCGGCGAAGTAACGTCCAGGGCAAATCCTGCCGACATGTGTTATGTAGAACAATGCAAGTATTCCGTAGTAGACGCTAGCCACGCACCTTCTCCCAAAACCAAACACGAACAGAGCAGGGTCTGGCGGGCTGGTGAAATCGACCTTGCCATCGTGTACGAAGCGTTCGGGGCGAAACACGTCGGGATCCTCGTAGAGCTCCGGATTCCGGGTGCAAGCCCTGGCGGCAAGCGAGGTTAACGAGCTCTACATGAGCAGTCACTCATAGAATAAAACTCACACCAGACGTTCGGTAGAATAATGGACCCAGCGGGAAGGAAATAGCCGCGGAACTCGTCATCCTCAACAGTCACGTGTGGAAGCGAGAAAGGCGATACTGCCTGCCACCACAACGCCTCTCTGATGGTCGCGTTAACATAGACGAGGTTCTGCTGATCGCTGAAGTCAGGGAGACGATGGGGGCCAACCACGGCATCCAACTCCGCTTGAGCTCTCTTCTGGATCTCGGGGTTGAGAGCCATTGCCATGAACATAGTCTGCACTGTGGAGAACATCTATGGAGAATTCGTCAGCTGGCTTCTTCGATTATATCAGAGTGCTCAGGTGGACTACCGTGTCCGAGGCGCCTGCGTTGCACTGGCAGTGAGCAACAAGCACCCGCACAGTCGTTCGCAGATTACCTTCGACAGTCACCGCGGCTACGTTCTTGATGACATCCTCCACTTCTATTGATGACGGCTCGTCATCTTGTTTAACCATTGTGGTGATCATGTTGCTGACCACACTCTCTGGTGCCTCGTTATGGGCCTATAGTAGAAGCAGGACTATCAGCCGGTCAGCGTATAGCGTATCTTCTGAACTCACTATCGATACTTTGATTTGACGATAAGGCTCTTCCTTCAAACGAGTCACGGTGGACCGCCAGTGTACAATCAGCCTCTGCACAGTTGCGCCCGGGAACCACGTAGGGACATATCGAAGGATCGGGAGCGTCTCGATGAGATATTTCCCCTGGGTGAACGCCTCACCCGGCCACTCCAGTGCATCCTCGACAATAGCCATGATCTCGTCTCCATCGTCGGCAACACTGTAGCCAAAGAGAACCTCCAACACAGCTGTGTAGAACGTGCTGTCAAATGTCCACGCCGCCGATCAGCTTGCAGCGGATTACTCACCACAGACTGAACACTCACAAGCGTATGGGTTCCCTCAGCCGGGATGGGGTCTTAAGAAGCTTATTCAGGAACCTGTGCGCGGCTTTACGTTGCATCGGCTGATATGTCGGCAGTGCACTTGGGTGGAAGTACTGCCAGAAAGCACGCCTGTGGCGCCTCCACCTCTCACCGTACCGCATTGCAGAGAGATTCATATCCATGCCTGTCCTTGATACGGGTATGCAAAGTAGGTCATTCAATGGAGGTTGAGAGATCATAATGCTCACAGGACAATCAACGGGGTCACAAAGCGATCCGATGTGTTGGCAGATCGCTTGTCCAGCAGCTCGAAGACGACGTCAGGTCTTCCGAGGACAAGCATATGCTGGCCAAGAAGATTGAAGTGTAGGATATCGCCTAGGAATGAAATCAATACATACTATGTGGTAGTCAGCCTGTGAGCTCCCCACCGTATTGCGCGCACATGTCCCGAAAAGCGATTCCCTGTTTGGTCCTAGGAAAGTCAAGGACATTGCCAATGAACGGGAGAGGTCTGGGTTCTGGAGAAAGTGGGAGACCACGCGAACGTGCATTCCGTGTTGATATCGAACGCATATAGATGACCGACAAGACCACCAGCAAGATCCCAATGAAAGCCGGGAAGGAGAGAGGGGAGACGCGATGGTGAAAGTTTGACGAGACCACAGGGCATCCCGTGAACTGACAGGGCACTTATCTGCGACACGGAAGCTATGCGATGTTCGTCGAAGACAACCCGTCGTCACGATGTGCACGAAATTGTAGTAAAGGCGAAGACAGCGTGGCGCGGTAGAAGCGCAGGCACTGTAATACTGCCAAGTAAGATTGTCTCAGCATATGCATGTTGGGTTTGGAGTACATAGACCGCTGACGTACTCAGCACATTGGCTTGGAGAGAATCCGCAAGAAAGGCGCTGATACGTACAATATCTTCCCGCTTCCCTTCGGTTCCTGAGGGTCACCTCATCTCGGTGTCCTCTGCTATGCGTGATTGATACCGCGTCTCAAGCAATCAAGCCGGCTATAGTGATTCGTCAGTCAATGCACTACTCTGCCGGACATCCGGCGTACTCACCTAACCCGTTCGTCCGTTGACCCATACTCATTGGAGTGGAGGCAGAAGTTACGCGCAGTAGATTCAAGAAGCGCTTGGTCGGTGTTGTGATGCCTCAGTAAGGACACTGCTTACTCGGATCCGGACTGGGCTGACGAGGGAACGAGCAGACAGCGTCAGCCTCCGAGGAGAATGTTATCCACTATTCTCGACGAGGGACATGTCTCGACACTAGGAGCGTTCTCCACTACCTTGCCGACAAATCGCCTGCGCTTCGACCTGACTCGACTCATATCCGCACGCTTCGGTCCCCGTGCGGCGATTCGGCGACCATCCGCAGTCACAGCTGTCAAATCACGAGCGCGGCAGCATGTACGATGAAGTCGGAGAACATGTACGTGCCATAAACCTCAGCGCAGCCACGCTCCAAGCTCTTCGCTGACCATAACCTTGTCCCCTCCCAGACGCTCTACGAATTCGACGTGATCGACCGCGTGAAGGACGTCGGCATCGATCTCGATTTCTCTCCCGCGACAAGCCCCGACGTTGCAATCGGCGACCCCGTCTGCCTTCACGCACTCCGATCCCCGTCTCCGGCGTTCTCGCCCTCGCCATGTCCCTCTTCACCTCCCACGATTCCCAGCTCCATCCCAACCACCAACACCTCTGCCTCCCCCTCTTCTCCCTATTGCTCCTCTTACTCTCCCGTGCGCCCGCGGCACGCCCGCGTCCTCTCAGCGGCAGACTTCCGCCCGCTCCGCGTGCTGGGCAAGGGCGGGCACGGGACGGTGTACCTCGTCGAGGACACGGTGTCCGAACGGCCGTTCGCGCTCAAGGTCGTCGAGAAGAACGGGCTGCGCCTGCGCGAGTACCCGCCCGTGTTCGAGGAGCAGGCGGTCATGCAAGCGCTGACGACAGGGACAGGGTCAGGTGCGGGGGAGACGTCGCCCTGGTTCGTCCCGCTCGCGGGAAGCTTTGAGGATAGCGATAACTTCTACTTCCTGACGGTGCGTGGTGGCGTCCGCCTGCAAGAGACTTATGCTGATATGTGTGCGTGCGCAGGAATACTATCCTCGCGGGGACTTGATGACGGAGATGAAGCGGAATGGGATCGTGCCAGAACACCAGGCACGCCTCTGGTGCGCAGAGATTGTAAGCGGTATTTGGACCCTGTCGATGCCCAGCAGACGTCACTAACGGCCTCTGAAGCTCGTAGCGATAGAGTATCTCCACAAGCAGCGGATCATCCACCGCGATATCAAGCTCGACAACATCCTCCTCGACGAAGACAAGCACATCGTCCTGACCGACTTCGGGATCGCCCGCGCATTCGGGAGGGCGAACGCCGACCGACCGTGGACGCGATTATCGCCGTGGAGCGTAAGGGACGAAGGCCAACAGGAAGAACGAGATGGAGCCGACAGGAGGAGGGCGAGGTCGAGTGGGCCGGACGTGGACGAAACACATTCGTTGGTGGGAACCCCCGGGTACGTTGCGCCGGAAGTGTATTCGGGCACGTACTCCTATGGGGTCGACGTCTGGGGAGCGGGAGTCGTGTTGTATTGCATGTTGACAGGAAGGGTGAGTACACCTCGTATTCGCGATCTAGTGACGCACCCACTGAGGTGACGGCACAGCTCCCGTTCGGTCTCCAACCGAGGGAACAGCGTCTAGAGGAAGTCATAGCGAGGACAGATAGCCTGCCCGCCGACCTCGACTTATGTGGGCTCGTAAATGAGGATGTGAGGGATCTCTTGGCAAAGGTCAGACCTGTATGGTGTTCTCGCAATGATACCCTGGCTGACGGCTTGTCTCGTATGAAGACGCTAGAGAAAGACCCCAAGAAGAGGCCATCCATCCGCAAACTGAAGAAGCACCGATGGTTCCGTGGGATGTGGGTACTCGAACGTCCTCCGCATCTGTCGAGGTCTGACATGTAGAGAGTAGCAATTGGGACGCCATCGAGCGCAGAGAGCAAAGAAGGCCTGCTTGCACATTCGACACGGTAGTCAGCCTGGAACAGGAGGTGAGTTGAACGTCGAGACTTACTCTCCTGACCCGGCGATGCTCACACACGAGGTACCGGATGACAGTGCTTCTACATCCCGTTCGGGCGACAATATGCCCCACACGAAGTAGTCCCACACGAATGGTTCGAGTGGACGTCCCCGAGTTTGCTAGGAGACGAGTCGACCTACGATACGACAGCCGACTGGTCATTGGGCTCCACGTGCTATAACGATCTCTCACAGAGTGAAGAGGCGATGCGACCAAAGGCGATGTTCGAGGTTCGTAAATGGCCGTCGGTAATCCAGAGGATGAAGGGGTGGCTGAAGAAGAGGCGGATGTCGATACCATGAGAAAATATCATTGTGGCGTTGACTCATGTCCGTGCGTGTGATGAGAGGGGGGTTCTGACGTGATCGATTGATTGTTCGATACTTGACACTCCTTGAGACATTCCGATACAGAATGTCTAGGATAGAGGACCTCCATGGGAATAGGTGCCGATAGTCAGAGTGGGACCCCACTTGAAGACCGCCCAGGCGACCCATCGCCTGCGCGTCGGCTCGTCTTGATCATCAGGGCGGTCCGGCCACCACAAGCGCTGAGATTCCTTCGAGGCGTCAACCCGTCTCTCATTGAGCGCTTCCGGGAGCAGGCCGATGCCCAGAGCATGTTTGTAGAAGGTGTGGATGACGTACCGCCCTGTGTGAAGCCCAGCGACGACGTATATGCGGGCATGGGGACAGCGCTTTAGGGTGGTCTGGAGGGATTGGACGAGGTCCTGATGTGTGTCTCTATTCCAGAGTGTGTCAGCGGCGATAACGACGTCGAACCCAGGGATGGGGTCAGAGTCCGCGTTCTGGGATTGCAGGAGCAGGGCTGGGTCGGATCCCCAGGCGTACGGTACAACGTGACACCGATCCTCGACATCGTTTCGCTTCGCGTTTTCCGCGAGCGTGCGGATGAGGAGCTCATCTGGGTAGTCACTGGAGGTCACCATCGTGTGAGGATACTTCTTCGCGATGAAGATGCCGGGTAGGCCTGCTCCCGCGCCGAGCTCGAGCACTCTGAGAGGGCGACCTTCATGCTTGATCAGGTCGTAGTGATGATCTATGCAGAAGTCGTCTATGTGATCAACGACGTAGATGGCAGCAGACCAGATTGATGTCGCGTGCAGAGACCAGTTAGCTGTTTGTGTATCTGGAGTCATGACAGTCACAGAGGGGCCTCCGTTGCGAGGGTGATGGGTGAAAAGGGAGCCCGCGGACGAATGTGCGACGGGACCATGACCGTAGAGGAATTCAGAAGCCTCGTATAAAAAGTCCTCTGGATCGGCCATCGACGCTGAGATCGTTAGAGATCAGACCAGTAGAGAACAGGTCTATCCAGAGACGACACGCAGAAGTGCAGCGGTAGATCGAAGGAGCAGAGGATGGAATACTGATGGAGTCAGGCGACCGTCGAAACAATGTCGAACGATTTGATTATTTTGTTTGTCTAAGGTTCACCAGCTAGTACCGAAAGGGACAATAAGTCCATATATGGAGCTAAATGATCCACGTCAACAGAGATCCGCGGGATAAGTTGTTTGGCGTGTTCCGTTGGTCCGAGCTCAGGGCACATCAGTCGGACATCTCACACAATCCCCCTTCATCTCGCCCCCCTCCTCATCTTTCATGTCCGACAAGCTGTCCTCTCCTACCCGGTAGTCGTCCGCTAATTCCCCGCATTCCGGTCACTTTCATCTTACAAACGACGAGTAGAGGTCCCAGCACGGTCACCTACACGGGAATAAAGGTCAAGGTGCGTCTCAAACTACGCTCACACTCGATTTGTCGCTTATCGCGTCCGACGCGTGCAGAGAAGGAAATCCATTCGCGACGCAACCTTCAAACCATCGGCTGAGTATGCAGCCTGCGCGCCTTGACTCTTGCAACTGCCCCTAACGCATTATCTCTATCCCTAAGGGAGTCCTTCGAAGACGATCCGGAGGTAGAATCACCCACTGACTCACCACAGAAGCTCGCTCGCCCCGAGACAAGGGTGAGTCCGCTCCCCTATGCATTGATTCCCATGGCGTTTGGCGGAGCAGGGAAGTCCCGCTGTCCAATCTGCTCTCACTATGGCGCACGGGACATCCGGAGTACCAAAACGGTCCGAACTTGAACGGAGTTTGGATGAGACCTTCCGAACTCTGTCCCACGCTCACTCTCACACCTACCATCACGTTCCTGTGCGCACTCGAGATCACTCCTCTCACCCACCGGCCCCCCTTGCAGATGTCCACCCGCACCCCCAAGAAAGTCGACGTCCAGTGAGTCCGTCCCTTTGTACCCCCTCGCGCGACACCCCCGTTCCAATTTGTGTCTGTCAGCCTCCCCGGGCCGTCGCCGAAAGACGCGTCTGCGAAGAAGACCGCGAGTGTCAAAGGCAAGCGAGGGGCGCACTCCCGCCAGTCGTCTGTGGCGTCGCTGGCTCGCGAAGACACCCTCGTCGACTCTTCCCCCATCAAGCCCAAGTCTCAGAGCATGAAACCCCGGTCTCAGATCCAGTGCGCACTATCATACTCCAACTCACGTGCCCTCTTCCTCATTCAATCCCACATTGCCAATTCCCTCGGCCGTGCCGTGATTATCTAGACGCACGGACACGCAAGAGGACGGCGACGAGGAGTCTGCGAGCGGGGTCTTTGGCACCGGGCGGTACACCTCGCGCAAGGGCGAGGCGGAGCGTCGCCAGTTCCTCGAGGATGACCCGAATTCAGGCGAAGTCGAGCCCCATCGCGTGTACTGCAAAGTGTGCAGCCAGTGGGTGGACTTGAACCCAAAGCTCAAGTACATCATGAAGTTGTGGGTCGAGCACCGGAGGCATTGCAAGAGCACTAGTCGCTCCGAGAGGTGAGTGTGCACGCGTCGGTTTGAGGTTCGAGGGTGAGACGATGAATTGAGCGTATGTCTGTGCGGCAGTCCGACGAAGGAGAAGACGACATCGACCGAGCCGGAGGTTGAGGTCGAGGAGGACGAAGACGAGTCGGTCATGCAGGAGGAGCCGGTGCACCTCGGCATCAAACGCGTCAAGAAGGAGCAGGATCGGAAGGCGATCATTGAGGCGGATCCGCTTACTGGCGAGGTGAAGCCCGAGTCAGCGTACTGCAAGGGCTGCCAGTCCTGGGTAAAACTCTCGACGCAGACCACTTACTCATTGCACCATTGGCGTACCCACGCGAACAAGTGCAGCGGCAGCATGTGCGTCCCGCTTTTGACACCGTTCAAGGAGGGGCAGGTGTCTGACAATATCGTCTCTCTCCGCGCCATCTAGCCCTAGCTCGCGCGTCGCGACGGCACAGAGGAAGCTGAACCTCGTCAACGATCCCCAAGTCAAGTCTTGCACTTCGCAGAGCGTTGAATGCAAGTCATGCAACAAGACTATCGAGCTTGAGGGCAAGGCGGAATATGATCTCACAAAGTGGGAAGAGCACAAGCTTGCGTGTAACAGGTCAGCGACCTTCGGATTTTACAAATGCTCTAGGTCTGACATCCAGCTCAGCAGCATCCTCAATGGAGCGGCTGCGAGGGCAGGCGCCAAAGAGACTCTCATTCCAAGTTCGAGCCGACCCCCACCTTCCGTGGCCGACACCGAGGATACGATTGTCGCTACTGATGTTGCCTCCACCCCGCAGAAGACTAGGAAGCGGTCGCGCGAGGACGACGATGTCCCCGAGCGCGCCGTCCGCCCGCGCGACGCGTCGTATGAGCCTACGCAGGCCGAGAACCCAGGGTTCCTGACATGGGTCTCCGAGTCTATCATGGGCTTCTTCCGCGGTGTCCGCGAAGGCTTTTCTGGATGAACGATGCACGCATCACTTATCTTCGGTTGCTGATCATTTTGTACTTCGACCGCTTCTAGTCGCTCTTTCTAGCTTATTGTCCTTTTGCTCCGCGATATCTGTACACCACACTCCTTGCAATTGGCCACGCTCGATATGCATCCTCCTCCTGCGAATTCTCGCTTAGCCTGTACTTCCTCGCGAACCCATCTTGATCTGTTTCATTTATTACTATGTCTGTCTTTAGTTCAGATCGCTTGGAACGTCGAGTGGTGTCTATGTTACTCTGTCCCTGTGTATACTTCCGGCCACAGTCGATAAAAGGTCCAATACCACTGAATACCCTGTCAACTAGTGGAGGCCGATTGCGCGCGCGCGCGTTTTGCTTGCTCTCCATGGGAAGATGCTCGAGGATTTAGCATTTGAGGAGTTGCGGATCACAGCCTATAGTCGCGCGAACACGACGCGTCGAGAGCGCGCCGCGGGCGGAAGATGCCGAGCCCAATCCCCGCAGAGGTCCTCTTCGCGCTTCATCCTCCCGTTCTCCGCACCTCTCTCTTGCGCGAACCGCGACCTCCCCCCTCCCCCCACCACCTTCCTCACGCTCCCCCGACGCGTAACTGTACGTATCCTGTTTATACTTACGAACAGCCTACTTCAGAGACCCCGTGGGACGGTCTGCTTTGAGAAACACGGGCAAAGCGCCGCGCCAACCACCAGCCACCCAAACAAAGAACGAGCCTTCAACGTGCGTTTCAAGGTCCGCCCTTCCTGCCGACGCTTGTACCTAACACAATAGCTTAAAATACACGTAGTGCATTTCAAAAGGGCTTGAGCACCCCCTTGCAACGATCCCCCACCACGCCCTTCGTTGTCCCCATAGGCGCTAAATCTATCCCTAACCACGGATGAGTTCCCCCGCGAGCCGGCTAACTCCCCTCGAGTAAGGATGCTTGTGTCATGCTCTTTGGGTCTGAGACTTATACATGGGGATTTAGGGAGGACGCCCCCCTTCCGTTCGAGGCTGCTGGGAGCCTTTCGGTAGTGACGAGGTCAAGGAAACGGGCCGCCGCCGACTCTGCCGCCGAGCCGCGTCCTCTCAAGAGGTCGCGCAAGGGCAAGCATACAGAACCCAATTCTCAGACGTAAGTGTTCCATGTTGACGTCCGCGTTCATGCACGCGCGCTGACATGCACCCGTCCGCCCACAGCGAGCCGTCGGGCACCGGCGCAAGTAGTAGTGGTGCCACCCCCTCGACAATCCCTGGTCCGGGCCCGTCGACGAAGCTCACCGCGCAGGCGCAGGAGAGGCGCGCGGAGCTGCTCCGGGACCCCCGCGCGCGGATGGTGGACCTTTTCAGCGTGCGGTGCCTCAAGTGCGGGACCACCATCAAGCTGTCCCCGAAAGGGTACTTCGACCTGCACCATTGGAGCAAGCACCGGAAGAGGTGCGACAAGTGGTCGGAGGAGTACGCCGCGGCGAGGCGAGCTGAGAATGGGATCGTGCGTATGCGCTGAATTATGCCTGATGCGCGAGCTGAGAGTGCCTCTGTAGGACTCGTCACGACTGTCAACGCCCCCTGCGACGCCCCCGCTGACGGAAGATTGCGGGACGGAGTTCACGGGGACGAGCGCTATGAGCATCATGAGCGCGAGATCGCCCACTCCCACCCCAGAGCCCCCGCCGCCGTCCGCGGGAAAGAGCCAGGACAACGTCATTCCCCCACCTCGAGAAGGTCTCCGTGTGACGGAGGAATACGTTGCGGCGTCGCGACCGCGGAGCCTTCCTCCAGTGCCGGAGATGGTCGAGTGCCCCATCATTCGGCTCGTGCCCCCTCTCACTTCTCACAAGCTTAGCAAAGCGGCGATGGCACTCCACCACCCTGGCTTGGAGGTGCTTGACCTCAATAGGCCTCTCCCAACGGTGCGCGATTGGGAGTGGGGGAACCTCCAGCCCTCCATCATCGCCCCACCCTCCGACCTGGAAACGGAGGAGGCTCGCAATAGCGTGAGGCTATCGAAGGCCGACTGGAACGAAGAAGACGAGTGAGGTGAAGAGAGATAGGCCGGGAGGCGACACGGAGCATGCGCATGCGCATGCGCCGGCCAGCGAGCGGGAGTCCAGGGCTCCTTCCGTATTCGGGTTCCTGAGCTCTGCCTCTCTGCGCACTGCGCTTCGCTAGTCGTGCCGCGCCACACTCATAACGCTAGATGACGGGGCGTGCGAGGTTTAGGTGAAAGGGGCGCGGGGATATGTGGGCGCGCATGTGGTATTGTGAAGAGGATTGCTGCTCTTTTGTTCTGGAACTCCTTGTACAGTGCTATCATATGTTATTTTGTTCTGCTTGGAATGCTGTAGGATAACGCGCTTTGCTATCATCACCATCACGGACTACCATACATACTATTACAAGTACACATACCTACTACCGCATGAGACGAATAGATGTTGTTGCTTAACACAACAACGAACGACGGTACTATAGTTGCGCGCGTTTCTATCGCTCCATGCGTGTTGCGCAGAGTGTGCACAACATCTCTTGTTCGTAGGTCGCGTCGCGACGGGTCCTCAACAAGACCGTGCTGGTGGTCCCGGTAACTGCCGAGATCCCTCTCCCTCTCCTTGCCATCATCGTCGACTGTGGCGAAGATCAATTGTGCCTACTCAGTACTCATCTCGTGCACACCACCGCATCGATAAGGCTACATGTATCGGGCCCCTCTGAGAGTGAGCCGGTGGCCAGACTAGGGAGGATTCCCATGGTAAGATGACTCAATCAGCTCCCCTCCAGCACGCCTCCTCCAAACAATTGAATTCGTTCAAGGGGCGCCGAGACAATGAACCCATAACGCAGTAAGCGTGATTACACTTCCACTACGGCTTCAACAACGCTTTTCCTTGCCCATGCAGATATCCAACCACAATTGTATAAATGCACAATGTGACGACAGCGAGTGTGCTTCTATCCGACGCCGCCGAATCCCCGCATAACTAGTCATCCGGAGTACTTGCGTTCTCCCGCTGAACTCCTACAGTTTTGCAATCAATCCCCCCTCTCCCAGAGCTCAGTGCTCGATATGCCCCCACGAACGCGTCAGTATGGCGAGTACATGTGAGTGATGTGATCGCCGGCCGTAACGTGAAGACATCTCTGATGGCGAGTCGACGTTGATAGCGCTATTCCAGAGACTTCCCAACACCGCGGTACCAACCGGGCGGAGCAAAGTCATATCAGTACTGATCTGCCTCCGGATACTCCCCAAGCACGTACTCGTAAGAGATCCTCCTACTCGCTGGAACACGCACACGACATCCCACCTCCACCTCTCAAAAGGCCCCGCCCATCTGGGAGTACTGCTGCATCGCTCGCCTCTCGGACTACCACACGCTCTGCCAGATTGTCTGCCGCAGAGGCTACCTCGAATCCCCCTTCTTCGAGCCCCAAGAGCGCCGCAAGAGGACGCGCGGCGAAGGGGAGCAAGGGGCCGAGTTCGCCCCTTCCTAAGACGCGAAACAAGAAGAACAGTGCACAGACACCCTCTGACGAAGATGTTGAACACTTAAAGACAGAAATTCCCCCCGCGTTATGCCCATACCTTACTCCCCCACGATCAGATAAAGGGTGCGTCTGTCGGACCTCGAGCGAGATACAAGGTCATACCGACTGATTACTTCATGCAGACCTGTTCCAACCGAGACTCGAACATTTGCGGCCTTTCTTCGCTGGAAAACATTCTACAACGACGATCTGGTCGAACGTATCATTGATGAACGCACAGTCATGTGCAGACTTTGCAAGAGAAATTTCGACCTCTGCGGAACTATGGTATACGACTGGCAGAAGTGGGGACAGCATCGCGCGCGCCACATTCGTAATACTGGCCCTAACCAAGTGCCAGGGGAACCAGTGCGTTTGGACCGACTGCTGAGAGGAACTTGTACACGGAACCTGTACTACAGGAACTGGGCAGTATGGACGTTATTCGTTCCGCGTCCTACGCAGTCCCCTGCGAACGATGCGCTTGATTCACCACGCTCCAGTAACGCCTCTTTGGCCCCTCCTTTGAGTCCGCTTTCACGCCATTCGCCTGTCGGGCCTGACAAAGGACCCTCCACCCCTATACGCGTCCCTACACCTCAACGATTCCTGCGCTCAAGTTCATCCGCCACCCCCTGTCCCTGGTCCTCGGACTTCCCTCACACGCTCTTCGAGGCTTTTCCAGTCTTGGAGGACATCAGCGGCCCGGAGTTGCTTTTGAAGGCCGCAGAATTCATAGATCACCGCGATATCTCATGTAGTTGCAGTATGGTTCTGCGGCGTTGCATGTAGCTTCCGGACTTGCCTGCAGGCGCATTTCTCTCTGTTATAGTAATATCCACGGTTTTCCACTGAAGTACATGCCTGGAAGAATACTGTTTGTGTTCGTAGCTCTTGCACTGCGATGTCGTGAGATCAGCTGTTAGCGCGTCTCTACCGAACGTCTTCTTCGCAACTTGCAAGACAGTGGTCCAAGACTGCTGCTTGACGGCCAAAGTCTAATGCGTCTGAGAATAAAAGACATGTTCCGACTGGCCTCATTGTAGGACAGGTAGTAGTATACCGCTGCCTGTGCAGCACAGCCCGAGGGTCAGCAAATCTTGGAGTGAGAATTGGGCCTTCGGCGCTCAGACTCACAGGTACATCCCTTTTGCGAATATGGTGTTCCGCATAACCAGAATCGGACAGCGCGCATGTAGGATCACAGTAAGTACATCGCCACCCACACGAGGTGATGGGCGTGCGCATGGAATTGGTTTCGGCCGCCCAGGTGACTCCGTGCCCCAAAGGAATGCGAAAGCCGGTCCGGGAAATGCCGAACAACCTTCCCTCTCGCCTCATCGACCGTGGCGAGGAGCACATTCCCTTTCATTTCGTTTGAGGGCTCTGTAGTGACTCAGCTCTATGTTCTTCGGGATTCTATCCGGGAAATTCTCCTGGGGGGCTTCAGTACACCCAGGACAGAGAGGTCGCCACAACTTCAGTTAGGGCTCGTAGTGGCGGGTTGGGTGTTCCATCACTCGGTCGCGAAAGGAACCCAGATTGGTACGTGATATTCAAGGTTCACGAGTGCCCCATCGTGCAGGTTCATTCCCTGGTATATGATGGCGGCGTGATTCTTCCAAATGTTCGGCATGGCGACGCGTGTACATCATCTGTTCGACGCCCCCTCTTCAGATGGGCTCTTAAAGTTACTGCGTACAGCTCATCTCTCCCGCTAATCTTCAATGAACGAGATCTTTTGATGGTACAAACTAGGTCATCTACGTGAGTGCACTTCCCCATGCATGTTGACAGGCTCAATTCATTTGTATCAGCCGTTACGAACGCGAACAGCGAGTCGCCCTTCGCCGTTCTACGCGCGTCGCGACTCGCGCCACCTCTTCGACTGCTGTGCACCTACAGCAAGATGTCGAGAGCTTCATTCCTATACCTATAGTGACCCCGCGTCGATCGCTACGCTTGACGACCCGTGCACGACAGTCCAAAACCGACACACTGAGGTCTCGTGGGGTACAGAAGAGGCGAGCTGAGAATGACGATGTAAGCGAACATCGTCAAAATCACAAACGTCGCCGTCACAAACAGAGTGTAAGGAAGACTACATAGGGGTACGCAACAATGACTCTAAAACTTCTTCAGTCACTAACACATGTTTGACAGTCTTCCACCGAATCCATCATGGCCAGTTGCACATAATGCGAAGTCTCAGACAACGTCTTGCGAGAGATCTACGTCCAACATCCCAGCTCAACTGTACATCCCGTCTCAAGCATCGCGAAGTGACTTCTTAGATGTCCCCTCCGGTGCGACTGGCACTCCTCGCCATGCAATCGCCACAGCCCAGAGCCGATCGATTGTCCCTCTCCCCGACAATCTCTACAGCCAGCAGCTGCCACAGCCGATTTAGCGTCATCGCCAATTAGCCTCCACATCACATCTCCGACACCTCCTTCGTCGCCGCAAGACCTTGCGGCCGTCTTGACAGCCATGAAGTCAGCAACCCAGAGGCACTCTCCGATGGAACCGATGGCCACATCCTTTACGTTATCCCAAGGAGGAAGTACAGTTTCTTGCATCCCCTGTCTCTGTCTGTCCTCACTGCAGCTTGCGCCGAGCCGACTGTGGCGAACGCTGACTCGTCCTGTATTTTTGCCGACGTGCCTACTATACTGCATCCTAGGTCTGGCGTTCCTTTCCACTCGCCGTTTCTCTCACCTGCGCTTTGGTCAGATTCGGAGGATAAGGTCGACGAGCTGCTTGACGATGACTAAGAGCGATGTCGCCAGGCGCGACTTCCAATTGCCGTGAGGAACGATGTAGCCTATACTTGCCTATCTTCGTGTTGCTTCTCAGTTTTGCACTAGGGGTGGTCACCCGTCTTCTCTTTGTCGAGTCAACTGTTTCTATTACGACGTCCGTAGTTTCCTGTAGTATGCACCTCGAATTACACACATTGTTCTACGAAAAGTCTGCCTTGAGTTGATTCAATTGATTGACTTGCTGCTGGGTCCAGCGCACTCCCTCGGTATCTCACCTGTTATGCAATTTCTCACGAAGTACCTCCATCTTCGTTCACCGCTCTCCGTAAGCAGCACAGCTGTCACTGGCAGGGGAAACCTGTGCTCTGGAGCCCGTGGCTTGCACGCTGCAGTCTATCTACCAATATCGTGTTATCCCCCGAAGGGCGGCCGGGGGCACAGCATGTGTTCCGAACAGCGCCGGTAGGTCTTCTCGTAGTTCTTGAGTTCTGACGATCCACATTGTGTCTTGCCTTGCCTTGCCATACTAGAATGCTCTGAGGCTCATAGCACATCGCCACGAGCTGCAGCCAGTGAATGAATTGTCTTCTTACACTCAACTGCCCTGCGCGCCCTAATCGTTGAAGCTCCGATCTATTAGTGACTGACTCCCAGTCGACCGTTGTGTGACTCCGCCACCCAAAACAGGAAACACGGACGCCGGGCGGGGAAATGCCGCACCATCCTTGCCTCTGCTCTTCTCGTGGACCGTAGCGGGGGTGACTTTTTCTTGCTCCATATTACTCTATACTATGGCGGAGAGCTTGCTATCAGATCATCAACCTCTCCGCCGCCAGATGTGCTGCGAGACATACTCGCCTGGGGAACCGCCACAGCTCTTCTAGTGTATCTGTTCCACGGTTTGTCCGCACAACAAACCATAATGGGTTACTTATATTCGAGGTCCGCAACAGCTCACTGCACTTGGTCTCCTTCCGTCTCTGGGAGGCATGATCTTACTTTCGGTATAAAACGGAACATGATGGCCCTATGGCTCCCTTGCAAGGACTTGCCTGGTAGACTCTTTGCACCAACACACAGGTCCTCCCCCTCCCCTCACATCTGTCGTTCATCAGATGCCTCGCAAGTGTTTTCAATCTCGTATGCGTCGGTGAGCGGTCCTGGTAATCTCTGAAATCACTGTTGTATTGAATTCGTTACTATCCCAGACCCAGCTCAACTTACCGGCAGGGCCTATCGCCGCATATCGGCTTCCAAACAAGCAATCATTCAGCTACGGAAGAGAAAAGGACCTCACGGAAGCGTCGTGCCAATAATGATGAGGAGCACCAGCGGCGACTCGCTCCTGGTGGGCGCAATAAGCGCGTTTGCCAACGTGATCCTGCGTCCAACACTCCTCGAGTAGCAGGGACCTTGTCATCTGACAAGTAGACAGGAAGGACCATCTCGCATGTAAATGGAGGCGAAACCGCGGCGGAAGGAGCCATCGAAGCCTCCATCATAGATGAAGACGGGCATCGTTGCATCCTATACGACTTCGCACCCCAGTTTCATCCTCCTCCCGCTCGATTCCAAGGAGCAGAAGATTCAATCCCTCCACATATTGCAGCGAGGGATTTCAAAGGGTGAGTATCCTTTTGTCAATGCTCCCTGGGTCAATTGTGAATCACTTGCCCCCAGCTGCGCTCCCAAGCCTTGGTTCAACGCTGGACAGACGGCTCGCTTAGGTCAACTACACGCCGACTGGTTTGTTGGAGCGCTCCTTTGGAAAATCAAAGGTCAGAAGCCTATGCAAGCGGTGCGCTGCAAATGCTGCGACACGGTAATCATTTTGAACAATCCGCGAGGAGGCTACTTCGACTTGGAACATTGGTGGGGACACTACCGGAGACAGCACGGCATTATTCATCAGGATGAGATTGTCAGAAAAGGCTTCCCGAGATGCGTCGAGTTGCCGAGAAAGAATCACGTCTGCGTAAGTGTCTGTGAGCGTTGCAAGGGGCGTCGCGGAAAAACCCAAACCAAACACCCGCTCTCGCAGTCGGTGGCAGCCAATATTCACGAAGACAACAGGGACGATTCGAGCACAGGAATGTCTGAGCTGACCTCCCTGTCCAGCCTTGACCTCGCGGGAGGCTACACACAGGAGTTGTCTCCCCAGACAGTGCTACAACCCTCCAGCTCTACTCTCGTCTCTGTTCCACCACAACACGTTTCTCGATCGTCGTCGCCCTATGATCTTCCTGAGGTCTTGAGCCTTTATATCCCCGAGAATGCGCGTCCAAAGTACGGGCCTGGCTCCAGTGGGCTTGTTATGCCCCTATCGATCTCTTCAGGTCTCCCACAACAGATCCCTCTATCCTGGGCAGAGTTCGTTGACCGCAGTCCCAACTCGCTCCCCGCACATCCAAGCCCTTCGCCTGGCTCTGAGGGTCTTGCTATCGAGACCCAGAATGCGGATACGACTACTCTCCTAGCGACGTCTGCCATCAGTCCTTGTCTAGACTCCATCACCCCTCCACCGACACCAGACGAAAGAACGGCCGCCCAGGCGCTACTCTGCTTGTTCCACTCTCCACCGGCCCCCGATCTCTCGTCTCCCGCTTCGGTGCCTATACCCCCTTCGTCATTTCCTGAGGTCGCTGTCACCTCATCAGATCCACCCTCGTCTGAGCCACCCGCCGGGCGGGTGCGAGCCCCGGCGATTGCGTCCACCTCTCGAGAGGCACATACTCCAACAATGGATGCACAGCCGGCCAGGGCAATCTCACTCAGCGTGTTTCGATTTTCACCCAGCATGCTCGCGCCATGACTTCCATTGGCCTCCAAATAGGATTGCGCTCAGTGCGAGCGCACCACCGCCTCTGAGCATGTCGTCTGCGCGTTGGAGTCCTACTTTGCCTCAGTGGAGGACCCGGCCATAGCCCTGGACGAGGGCGACAAACCGGATTCAGGAGACGAGGACGAAGACATGGTTGATGAGCTACTTGTTGGCGAGTAAGTACGCCGTTTCTCTCGAACTTCGGACTCGTACTAGTGTTGCGGTCCTTGCTGCGCTGTTATGTCTGCCTGTTTAGTTCGTCTCGCTGTGGCCCAAACATGTCGCTTTGCTTTTCATGTCTTCCGCCCTCGGATAGTGTATCCCATCATAGAAGTGATTCTGTCGTCGACCTAAGTTCAGCTTCCTCGGTTGTCAACTTGTTAGACCAAATTGGCGAAAGAACCGGACGCGATGCATCCCAGACGGTCATTCTCGCCCCTATGAACGCGATTGCCGACCACACAAACCTGCTCGGGTGTACACGCTAGCCACTAGTCACTCAGCCACAGCATATCTCTGAAGCTGACGATGATTACCCACACCCTGTCGTCGTACATGATATAGTATACCCAATACGTCCTAGAAGACCTTGTGCGTCCACGGTTAGACTCCCGTCGGTTTTGGCACGGGGTCGTCGTAGTCCCCAGGTGGCGTCCTAACAACGCCGCTGGACAACATCTTCGCGACAACAGCGTCGCGGTCGGCGCTGCTCCCCCTGCACAAACACGCAGACAAGGTCTGAGCATGATGAAGGCGACTAGAAGCTGACATGATGAGTAAGGCACGACGACTCACAATACCCCCTTCACGACCTCCCGCATAACGGAGCCAGCCGGGATTTCGATCGTCTCGATACCGACGAGCTGGTCTGCGCGCGTGGGGCCGATATTGAGGAGAAGAACGGGCTTGTGATGCTCAATGGCGTATTTGACTAACCTGCATGAAAGACAACGATCACGTCAAAAGGGACCTAGCGAAGGGTTCACGGAGGATGTACGTACCGAAATGCGGAAAATGTGGCCAGTGTCGTACCGACGACGAACAGTCTGTCGCTGGAATCTACGATCTCGAACCTGCAGGTTCCGTCAGTTCCAAGCGAATAAGGGTACAGAGGCAACGCTCACGATCGATCCTTCACGGGTGCAGGAATCGACTCGCCAAAGAAAATGACCTCAGGCTTCAGCAGGTCGTTCACGCGGTTCTCCTTCAGACAGTCGGGACAATCTGGTAGGACGAACGTGTCGTACTCCGTCCCCTCAGGGAGGACCACCTACCAATCCGACAGTGAGTATGTGCATGGCTCGCAGTCTCAAGTAAGAAGCGATACCTACATCTCCATCCGGGTTCGTTCGGGGTCGGGCTCCTGTGCGCTCCAGCTCCTCTGCAAACGCCTTCCACTTCGGGTTCGCAATTCCGAGCCTCTCCTGAAATGTCTGTCTGTCTATTGCATGCCCATGAGAACATCGTACTCTCTACAGACGAGCGGCATGGCTGAGTCAGTCTGCCGAAGTAGTCGCCGAGTTGTGCAGGATAACCTACATGTAATGTTCCGTGTAGCTCGAGGATGCCCTGGTTTCGTCGTGACTCGTGCCAAACGTCTTTGATGGCTTTGTGATGCAGCCCATCTACGTTTTGTGTTATAATGTGAGGGGTGACGGATGAGTACTGGAGTGCAGCGAGGGCGTAGTGTGTGGGGTTGGCTTGTGCATCTCGGACGGGTGGGTAACCGAGGTACGAGCGGAGCCTTCGCAGTAGTTCAGAGTTATGCTCCATCAGGTCTCGAGAGTCACAATACTTACCAGTATCGTTGCCTGTCGAGGACTTGAGCTTCAAGTAGGGAGCGGGGCGAGCTTTACTCAGTCACTCACCTAAACCCCGTTCCTCTAGGTGTGGCTTCCATTAACTCATGATACTATGGCATTCTCAGTTGCGATCCTTCTAGCTAAAACAATCGAAACATACAAATATTGGCCTGCAAAAATGTCAGGATTTTAGTGTGATGAGGATATGCGCAGAAATGACGGACTTATAATTTGGGTTCAAGTAACTACCGTGCTCCCCTCTATACGCGCGGATACCCGAGTCCACGCTCACTCCAGCCCCGGTTATGACGGCAGTGTTTCCATTAGAGAGAAAGGCGGAGATGCGTTCGATGGCAAGAGCAGGAGCTATTCGTCTGTTCTGAGAGTTTGCAGTCCGGAGGACGGCGTCCGGAATGGTAGGAACAGAGACACGCATGTGATACAGCGCCCGCGCTCGTCCTCGCTCAGCCTTCTTCTACCCCGCGCTTCCTCCACAAACGACCTCGCACCCTCCTCAAATAGCTTCAACGATGAACAGGCCGTTACCGGGAGTACTCCATACCCCTGGCTTTGCGCACTACGGCATTGCTTGGTCGCCCTTTCACAACAATAGGCTCGCGCTTGCGTCCTCCGCGAATTACGGACTTGTAGGGAACGGAAGGTTGCACATAGTCGGACTTGGTCTAGGGCCTGGCGGATTGCCTCAGCCTGGTATTGACAAGTTGTGAGTAAGCCTAACCTTGTCGCTGAAGACATTCCGATTTGAGGTGTCTAGTTATGAGACACAGGACGGTTTGTACGATGCCGCTTGGTCCGAGATACATGAAAACCAGCTCGTAACGGCATCGGGAGACGGATCTATCAAGCTATGGGATGTCATGATCAAGGTAGGTTCTGCACGTATCTCGGTGCGCTGTCTTCCAGATCCAAAGTGCCGCAAGCGCATCTAGGACCTACCAATACGCGCATGGCAAGAACACACGCGAGAAGTCTTCTCCGTTGACTGGTCCAACATCGCTAAGGACCAGTTCATATCCTCATCTTGGGATGGAACAGTGAAGCTCGTATGTCGTCTCCCCAGTCCCGAGTACAGTGTGACTCTCTCACTGAACCTACTGTCGTGCGCAGTGGACACCCGACCGCCCGCGCTCACTAACAACCCTCCAAGCACACCCCTCCTGCGTCTACCAAGCGCTCTTCTCCCCACACCAACCCGACACCGTCGCGACCTGCTCCACGGACGGCACCGTCCGCATCTTCGACCTCCGCTCCCCCGCCTACATGCCCTCCGCGCCCGGCGCGAACTCCTTCACAGCGCCCCTGGCGGCCGCGGCGCTCACGATCCCCGCGTCGGGCGGGGAGGTGCTCACGCTCGACTGGAACAAGTACCGCCCGTGGCTGCTCGCGAGCGCGGGCGTCGACAAGGCCATCAAGGTCTGGGACTGCCGCATGGTCAAGCTCGGTCCGGATGCGGCGCAGAACCCGGCGGTGGGCGGGGTGTGCGAGGCGCATCTGGCGGGGCATGAGTATGCGGTGAGGAAGGTGCAGTGGAGCCCGCACAGGCCGGACGTGATCGCGAGCGCGAGCTATGATATGACGTGTAGAGTGTGAGTGCCCTATCATCCTGGCTCTCGTCCCTTGGGGATGCAGCTGATGGAGGCTGAGGCAGATGGTCGACGACGCCGCAGCCCGGCGCAGGGCACCTGTTGTACATTCACGATCCTCACACAGAATTTGTGGTTGGTTGCGGATGGTCTCTGTATGACGAAGGCGTACTGGCCAGCTGTAGTTGGGATTGTCGGCTGAATGTATTCCGTGTATAGTATCGTTATAGCGTTCGCACATCGCTGGGCTGCTTTTTTGGTCTAACGACTTGGCCGCTCTCGAAGCCACATCAGCTCCAATCGCCGTGTTGTGAAGTTCAACGCTATGAGTGTCCCACTGTGGGCTCCCTCGCGCTTCAGTCTTGCTTCTAACATTCCTTTGGAACAGGGTCTGATTAGGGGTGAGGTTCCCCGTGCAGGAGCATTCCGAGGTTCGGCTGGCGGTGGAATGGTGGTATCCATTGGACCGCGGTATCATTGTCGCAGTGTCATACAGCGATGGCCAGGTGCGTACTTATCTTTAGACGATCACACACTAGTGCGAATCATTACGAAGCTCGGACCGTTCTCATTCAACTGTCCGGGTTTTCGCGTCATAATCGTTTGAAGCGCACACAGCATTCCGGACATTTCGCGCGTATGCCTTCGCCTCTATCTGACCTATGCTGCGCAGAATTGCCAGAAGGCGGGGGTTCGTCGTGTACCGTGCGATTCGTACACGACGGTGTCTGAGTCCGCCCCCCCCCGCCCATTCCTGCACTGTGGGACTTTGGAAATCTGAGGCTGTAGCGTCTTTGAGGGCCGTCGCCGCCTTCGGAGCAAGTTCACGAGCCTGTTGGGATCCTGCTGCTGATACTTCCCTTCTGTGTTCAGCACATATCACTTCTCGCTGTCATAAAACATGAGACGCTGACGGTCGCTTTAGAGTTACAAGAGACGTCAAACCTTCACTATGCATGCCTTCCCATCTCTGTTCACAACCCAGATCGTAGACAGAGCATGTCAATTACTCTTGTAACTCTCATCCGCAATATGGCTCGTCGCATTCAGCATCCGGTCACCACATCTATCATGCTGTCTCGAATACATCATTCACTTCCTGAACGCCACAGTTCGAGTACCCCAAACGCGCATTCCGACTCACGTTCAGTACACCCCCACGAGTAAGCTTCCCTTCTCTGCTCGATCGCTCAACGTATGATCTGATACGTATGATAGGACCCATGCCGGGTGTCCTTCCGGCATCCTCATCACTCATACGTATATCAGGCGATGCGCGAAACAAAGGAAGAAGCTCCTGCGGTCTGCTCCACCCGCGTGCGATCACTGCGACTGCGCGATATTTATGGCCTCGGAAGTGGGGGCTGAAAGGTATATAACCCTACTTGGGGCACGCCGTGCCGCATGCGTCGCCCCGCCTCCCTCCGGTCGTCGCGACTCGCCCTCTGCCATGGCACGTCGGTGGGAGCGATGGCCTCGTCGTTGCATCGCTAGCGCTGAAGCGTTGCTATGACGTGGAGGGTTGTGTCGTCGCCGCCAAGACGGAGGGAACCGCGTGCCCTCTTGTGGACCACACGTGCAGGCACACCGAGTTCGAGGGCACATGGACGGATGTCCTTCTAGGTGACCATTGCAATCGTCGATGCATGTATGTAAGGGTTACAATGATGTCTTGAATCTATGCGATACAAAGAAACGGGAGTGAGGCCGTATGCTAGGGGAGAGAACCGCAGGAATGTAACAAGCCCGAGCCGCGTCAGCACCTAGGACTCCAGTTGGAGACGTTGTCTGGCAAGGTCATCATTGGGTCAGCAGGGCACCGCCCCGCGTGCATATCTAGACGCGACGAGTGAGGCGAAGTGGCGAGCACTGGCATCACTAATCGTCGGCAGCGTTTGGGAAGAACGGATACCGACGGAAGTAGATAGGCATCGCGTAAAGCATGTGCAAGCAGCCCATCCCCATCGAAAAAGGAAGAGATATACCATGTAACGTAGTAAAAGGAATCAGTACTTAGAAAGCACAAGGCACATGCCGGGGGACGGGCAAGTATTATCAAGGGCAGGGAAAGCAAGCAACGAGAGAGACAAGAGAGCGATGTCACTATGCGGGTAGCTGTAGGCTTCTGACGTCTAGGGCCGTAAGCGTCTACTGGTAGACACGGACAGAGCTGATCTTCCACTGAGCGACTGTTCACGGCGTGATTAGTCCCACTGCAAACCAAACCCAAGGTGATTGATACGCACGATTGAAGTTGCTCGAGTTCGCAACAGCGTCGTTGCAAGTGGCCGGGCACCCAGACTGGGAGTACGCCGAGCCCGCCCAGTCGCCGCACACGGTGATGTCGAAGATCAAGTTCTGCGCCAAGAAGTGGCTCATGATGTCGCACTGCGTGTTCGGGAAGTACGCGGTGGGCGTGCCCCAGCTCGCGGGGTCTGGCTGCTTGCTCGCGACGTCGGCCGGGATCGCGTCGCGGTCGAAGAACCAGACGGAGATGCCGTCCGCCTCGAGCGTGTGCGCGAAGACGCCGCCGGCCTGCATGTTGAAGCCGTGCCCGAAGGACGTGTTCTGCGTCTGCTGGTACGCGCACCCGGCGTTGTCGCCGTTCGAGGACGCGCAGCTCGTGCCGAGGACGTCCGCGAGCGCGTGCGCGGCCTTGTCGAGGGTGCAGCCCGGCCCCGAGTGCAGCGTGACCTGGTTCTTGGTGTTGGTGTTCACGCCCTCTGCGACGTCCGCGCGTCAGCTTGCGTTCATGGGCGACGGAGATGAAGGGGAGAGCGTCCCTAGTGCGCAGCTAGAAGCCTGCATCGCGCGGCACACATGCACGCGGCGCCGGCGAAAAGGACAAGCGTCATAAGAACGGCGACTCACCGATGATGTCGATCTCGCCAGCGTTCGGCCAGTCCGCGCCGTTGCCGAGGGACCAGTACGCGGGCCAGACGCCGCACCCGTGGGGCATGGCGAAGATGTCGGCGACGAAGAGGCCGCGCGTCCACGACTTCTTGGAGCTGATGCGGATCGAGTTGCGCTTGCCGCCGACGGGGACACCGTCCGAGTCGTCGACGGCGAGGACGATGGTGTTGTCGGACTGGACGTATGCGAGCTTCTTGGCGGCGTCGCCGTCGACGAAGTTAACGAGGCCGTGGGTCGGGTCGGCGTCGGTGAAGAAGTCCCAGCCGCTGCGGAGAGGGAGTTCGGTTAGACGTGACGGGAGGATCGGCGGGAGTTGGCAGGCGATTGACAGGACACAAGGGGCGCGGCGTTGTCAATTCATACTTCCGTGTGTCCATGCTTGGGCTCGAAGGCCTCTCCGTTCAAACTTCCTTTCAGCAAAACATTGCACACCATGGCGGCGCGCGGATGCTATCAATGTAGTCACCGGAGATGACAGCAGTTGCAGCATGTTTCCCTTGAGCCCGTGAATCGATCCATGACCGACATGCACAACCCATGAAGGCGAACACATACATAGCCTCCATAATGGAGCGCCTGGAAGAAATCACTCACTCGAAGAAGTTCTGGCCAGAGAATTCGTCCACAAGCTTGTAGGAAGTGCTCCGCGGAGCAAAGGTCACGTTCGTACCACGGGCATTGTGACGACGCAGCTGCGCGCTATGGTGGGGCGCAAGGGCAGAGGCAGAGGCAGCGAGAGAGAGAACGAGGGCAGCGAGAGCGCCAAACATGATGTCGTTCGTCTGAGTCGGTTGAGATGGAGGGAGTCTAGAAGCCTTTGAAAGAGTGTGGGGCTCTGAAGGAGAGGATGGTGAGGGAAAGGGACGGAGTCCTGGGAGGACAAGGGGATCAAATAGGTCGGGGGGACAGAAGAAAGCGGAGAGGGTCGAAGCGTTGTATAAAAACGCGCAAAGCGAACGATTCTGGTCCCTGCGCCTGCGCTTGCCGCGGACTCGCCACATGCGTCCATCAACAATGCCAGTCCCCATTCATTCCGCCTTTGCCTCCCACGCGTCTCTGCGACACCTTTTGTTCCCGTCTCCCTTCAAGAGCAGTGGTCTTCACCCCCACCACAATTACTCGACGCAACAGGTCATTGTTTCGTCGCTGCTATGAACACAGCCGTCTGTCGCTTTTGCTTTGAGTCGGGGAGAAACTCGGTGGACGGACGTAAGGGAACGTCGAGGATGCACAAAGTTGGGCCGGCTTATCGATCGCGGCACAGCCACGCCGCCCCTTACTGCGTCGCGTAGCAACCGAGTCCCGCCAAGTCTCCCGCCTCCGGCTCCGCCCTCTCGAGTTACGACTGGCGGGAGTGTGGTTACTGGCGGTGTGCGCACTCCCTTGGCAACAACTCTTCCAAGCACAAGATACAGATCCTGCGGTAAGAGCTCAAAATAATGATATCTTTTTTCAATCAAAGTTCACCGGAAAGTGGCGCCGCATCCACGCCGCCGGCATGGAGCAACTCTACACCTCCGCGCCTGCAAAACGCAGTATCACCTGTACCTCGACTCTTGTCTTCCTGGAGAATCTCGGTCGCTGTTACGTTCTTCTCGTTCATCCGGAGCCTCGCCCGACCCGAAAGCATTCGAACGTGTACATATGTATCATCCCTCGGCCTGCGGCCATCATTCTCCGTACCTCGTGGAAGTCCACTCCACAGTCCAGCCCTGCAATTGGAGCAGCATATCAAGTACCGCTCGGGGCTGTCGATGCATGATGCAGTGTGAGGACTCCGAGAGATCTGCCTGACTTGATACGTACGTTGGGTCCGCTCATCTATCTAACGCTCCACCTACCAGTGCATCTTCCCAGGAACCATCCGCGCATGCACTCGGATGTTCTCCTCCAGCGACTGGTGCCCCTTTTCCTGCTTGGGAGTCTCTATGACGGACGCCATACTTTCTCACACGGTCTACGCAGCTTGGATTTTGATGTATAGCGCAAGGACTGACGAAGACCGGGGCGACGAAGACGACGCCGCTGATGTCCGGGGAACGGCATCCTCGCCGTCGTGCATGAAGGCCCATCTCTGAAGCTCGATCTGAAGTCCGCTGATATGACAGACGGCGTCGAGATCTGAGCATGTAAGTAGAAGTCCTTCTCGAGAAGATGAGCGCCATTGGACTGTTGAGCAGCGTTGTCGCTGCGTTGAGGAATGCCGCTTCGGCGTGGCGTGTGCGAGGGTAGGTGGTACTGTCTGTGAAGTGTTCTGTTCGATTACTGACCTGATATTTGTTGGATAGGACGACATAAGTATATCGACGCTCTTTACATCTATCCGGATGCTGCTTCTACACAGCTATCAATCGCAGAAGGGTAGTTCTTGTCATCCAGCTAACTTATCCCTTGCGATCGGTACGCTCTGATGGTTCACCGACCAAGCACGTATGCCCCCATTGCTTCAAGGACCGATCTGCAGAACACTTTGTTCGCGGTAGGTACGATGGTGGTCCAGGACGAAGCCGCCAAAACGGATCACATCCTGTTTTCTCCAGATAGAGAGCCGAGTGCTCATTGCACGCCTCCGGGTATACATCCTACCCCACCTCTCTTCTGCGCTCCCAAGCGCGCGCTCGCGAGGCTCCAACAATCCCGGACGAGCATCTGATACCCAGCATCATCGCTCGTCTTTCAAGTCCCACCATCCCGTACGCCCTACATACCGCCGGCGTCTCGACCGACCCTTCCGAACACAACCTCCATGGGCTCAGCCAACGTAATGTCCCAGCTGCGGACTGCGGATCATCTGCTTGTGCACTGGTCGGCGTTTCTCAAGTCACTGCGCCTCACACGCATAGTCGCATACTATGGCTAGAGGAAGAAGGGCGGTGCGCCGACTGACGGACACGGAGCGAGCCCCGGACGGTGAGGCTGCGATCGGACGGCCGAGTTCTCGTGCGATGCAAGAAGGCGCATATAAGCGCGAGCTTCGTAGTACGCGGCTGCACAAAGGTAAGATAAAGCATGCACGTTTGTTCGGTCTTTGGTTCGACGAAGGTGATATCGGAGCGCTGGCCCGAACGCCATTTGCTGTGATAATCGCTGACAGACCGGCGACTTCAGTTGACGTCGACAGCATCTCTGTATGTCTCATGCTTCACGATGCTGCGGATTGGGGACGCTCGCGTTCGCACGCGGGGGATTGAGGGGCGCCCTTGACAGAGGGTATGCCACAAGTTGCGATACATTGACGATAATTGATACAGCTACTGCAGAGACCCGATCGAGACTTTTCACCCTGACCAGACAGCGGGGCCGGGCTGGGTGTAGTTCTTGGGGATGGGGTACTGCATATATCGCCGGTCAGCAAGGTTCCTCTGGAGACGGAGCTGGTGAATGAACTCACGTTAATGTTGATGAGGATGCCGGGCTCCTGTCGGCAGGCGAATGTCTGTCAGCTGAAGTTGACGAAGATGAGATGGAACAGAGACGTACGTAGCCGGTGTAGACACCCGGGATGGCGACGAGAGGACCAGGCGTGCCGCTGCCTCCGTTCTCGACGTTGACTTGTCCGCAGGAGATCTGTGGCGTGGCAGTCGGTAAGCGCATGCCCTTCCTCCCCCGACGCGTTGTGAACTCACGTAGAACTGCGCACCGCCGTAGGTCGACGCGACGTGCAGCGCGATCGCCTCCATGCGGACGAGGTACTGCCCGCTGGGCAGGGCCTCCGGGAGCGTGAAGGTGACTCCAGGGACGCCCTCGGCGGGGAACGTGATGCTCTGCCCGCCGTCGGTCACGGCCGAGATCTGGTACACCTTGAACCACACGTCGCCGTCGCCGGCGAAGCTGCTCACGTCCCCGGGGGCCTTGGCCATGTAGACGTTCACGACGCCGGGGTGGTAGATCGTGCCGTCGGACATGATGCCCAAGGGCTGGCCGGCCTGCACGGTGATCGTCTCCGCGGTCGGGTCCGTCTGCGAGTCGTAGCAGCGGAAGTCGGCCGAGGTGACGTCGGTGACGGGCGCCTGGGTGTTGAAGTTGTTCGTCTTGCGGACGTTCACCCACGCTGGCGTCGTCGTGCCATCGACGACGAGCGAGGGGAAGGTGTCTGCGCGAGGCGAGTGAGTGAATCAGTACGATTGGTCCGAGGACATTGGCAAGCAGAGAAAGCTCACAATGGGCAGCCGCCGAAGCAGCGAGGGTGACGAGGGCGACGACGGACTTGAACATCTTGCGGGAAGACCGAAGGGCTTCTGGTTCTGGTTGGCACCGTCTCTTGTCGACGCGCTTTTATATGGTACTGCAGCGGCGCATTTCCGCCGTGCAGCATGGTGTCCATTCCTTCCGTGCGGCACGAGAGGACGGCATTGCGGATGTGGCCATCCGAGCGTCGACTTGCGTTGTGGAGTGCGGCAGAATAGCATCCAACGTCGAACACGCTTCTTCTAGCCCGCGGCCACCGTTTAGAAGCAAGTTGACCCGAGGCGCGATCGCCTTTATCCGAGGTCGTCGAGGACGTGGGCATGCTTATCGCGCTACTTTTGCAGGTTTCGCAGCGAGTGATTGGGTGGTGAGCTCCGAACGTGATATCCATGTTGGTTCGATGCATGGCAGCTGACCTGAGAGGTTGCACAGCAATGATGACAACATGAATGGCAAGGTCGACTCCTTCCGACGTATAACCATCCGATTTCCCGAATGTGTACCGAAGCACCTTCCCCGAATCTGGTTGGTGTGGGGCCCCAGGCAGATGGTCGGACACGCGAATGCCAGCGCTGGAAATATCTGCGACGTCTAGACGGATGGGTGAATTGGAACATCGGACGTCGGTCGCGAGACCAGTCATTGGTCCTCAGGCCTCAGCGGCAGTGCTACAAATTAGTGTTCTGTATCTGTATGCGCGGATATAATTGGCCGAAGAACCCGTTATTTTGGTGAATGGGCATATGCGTGCAGGGAGAGCTCGCTTGACGCTCCGTGCAGGCTCACTCAGCCGATCGTCCGTGGCCTCCTACGTATGAAGCATGCCGACACATAACCGAGCATTTTTCGACATGAGCAGAGAACCTGGACGCGATTGCGCATCGCAATGCGGCCCGTGAGGACTGTGCCATCTGTGCTCGTGAGCATGGTCATTGAGATCAACTTGAAGGGTCTACTATCGCGACCCCAGTGTTCGGACAAAAAGGCGCCCGCTGCGAAAACCCTTCGTTTTATGTACTTTCCTGAACTCCGATAATGCTCAATATTGGCATGCAAAAGGAGATGCATATGCATAGACTACGTGCCAAACATAAGACATATTGAAGGAGACACGAGCAATGGAGACAGGATATACAGGGCCTGACCCCAGTGTTCGGACAATTCTCCGCACAGCAGGTCACGATCTGTCACGCTTGCCGACACCTGCCGGTCTTCGGGGAATCCCCGTTCTCCAGCTTGATGAGCCTTAGCCGAGCATCCCGAGCAAGTCGGAGAGTCAAACTGTGGCTGCAGTGTCACGCCCTTGAGGGCTGCTTCTTGTTTCTCCTCTGTGTTCCCCTGAGCAGGCCTCGGAAAATTGGGTAGTGAGTAATATGCGTAGGTAGAAATACATACACGAAATTTGTATGGAAGCGCCCGAAGAGGTATACGAAGCGAGACTCCCGAAGCTTTGATAGGGAAGGGTTGCACCACTCCCTTCTGCAAGATCGCCCCAAGGCTTTATGATATAAATTCAGTTCGTTTTGCTGCTTATTTGGAACACATATGGGCACCTACCTTCCAACTTGCAAGTTTATCGAGTGGACAATGACGGAGATACGGTCGTTTGTCCGAACACTGGGGTCTGTCCGAACACTGGGGTCTGTCCGAACACTGGGGTCTGTCCGAACACTGGGGTCTGTCCGAACACTGGGGTCTGTCCGAACACTGGGGTCTGTCCGAACACTGGGGTCTGTCCGAACACTGGGGTCTGTCCGAACACTGGGGTCTGTCCGAACACTGGGGTCGCGATAGTATGTACAAGGATCTCGCAGTTCGACAATTTTCAAGTTGGCAGGTTTGCTTATATGTTAAGCATATGTTAGCCGAGTGACATGGGTCGGTGGCGTAGTTGGTTATCGCATCTGTCTAACACACAGAAGGTCCTCAGTTCGAACCTGGGCCGACTCAATTTTTCTGCTCTCCTCGTTCCTCCAATTGAACACGCCGAGTAAATGCGCCCAGTCCTCATAACGGCAATAATCGCAAGTTGCTGTTTTCTCGCACCATACCGGCAACCAGTCCCATTACATCCGATACATAAGATAGCACTCCCAGTAATATACAAAATCTACAGCAAAGATCTCCAGACATACATTGTCACAACAACAAACTTCGGATAGTCTATTGCACCTTCTGCTTCGTACGCTGCTCAAAAATCTCTACATCGATGGTGTTCATACTGAAGAAACGCCAAATATTGACGTGCTTGAGTTGGCCGTATCGCCGCAAACGTCCTATGGCCTGCGTCTCGCATGCGTCGTAGATCTCCTGAGTTGGCGCAAGGAGGGGGGAGAGGAAGATGGCATGATTAGCGGACGTCAGGTTCGCGCCGCTGGCGCTCTCGTCCATAACGTTCAGCAGAAGCACCCGCTCCTTGCTGTCGTTCTGGAACTTCTCCAGATTTTTGCTCTTCATGGAGGCAGAGCCCTTGATCTCGAGGAACGCGATCTTGTTGGCGGCAAGAGCCTCGGCAACTTTGGCGGTGAGATCGGGGAATTGGACGAAGATCAGGACGCGCTCGGCTTTGGGGATGGTGCTCCTGGGCAACAACTTAGCTCACGCACACAACAGAAACCGAATCACGATACTTACTTGATCAAGTGCATGACCTTCTCAAGCTTGAGACCGTAGTGTTTGCCACGACCGTCACGGGCCTCATCGTCTACGCCGAGGGTGTCGCCCTTGACGACGTTGAGTACGCGAGCGGCCGCCCTGCATGCACCAGACGCAGCGTAAACACATTCCTCCCGTTCGGCGCAGGCCATGACGCAGGTGTAGCAGCCCATGTGACCGCAAGAAGAGAGTACGGCAATCTCCTCGACAGGCACTCCGTCGCGTCCGCAGCTCGGGCAGTGAACGACCGGAGGAGTATCGGCCTGCTTTTGGAGATCACGAACGACGGTGAAGTAGCGAAGCGAGCGGACGCGACCGACGAGTTCCTTCGTCAAACGACGGATCTCGTGTGTCTGCTCGCGGTGCTCCCAGATCAGATCCTGGATCGCCTTGGGAAGGTCGGAACCTTCTTTCTTCCCGCCCCTCTTGAGATTGTCGCTGATCTTGTTAGTGACGGGCTTTAGGGGTCCGGCGATGTTCGCTTCGTCGAGAAGACCCTGAACTGTCTCGGTCGCGTCCTTGTCGCCAACGCCCTCGGTCCGGGTGACGCGCACGTACTCGCGGAAGAGCGACTCATCGGGGGTCTTGCCGATCTTCTTCTCCATCTTCACGGCGTCGTTGAGCTTCTTCAGGAGCTCCTTCTTACAGTCCTCCAGCTGTTTCTTCCGCTCCTGGACGATGACCTCGCAAGCTTTCATCGCGTTCTCCTTGTCCGACGTTTCGAGCTCGAAATGCGAACAACGCTTCAGGAGCGCTTCTTCAGCGGTACTACGTGCCCGATGTCAACACGTTAATTATCACAGCGCTCCAATTATTCGAAACGCACCTGCTCTCGCCAAGGGCCTGCGCCAGACGCTTCTCACGATCGCTCTCACTCTTCCTGCCACGCTTTACGGTCATATCGATCGCGCGAAGGTAATGCTCGAGCTCAAGGTAAATTGCTCGCTCAGCGGCAGGGAGGACAACCTTCTGTATTTGTTGGCCCCATGAGATTTCGTCAATCTCAGCAACGTTCTATCACAAGCGAGTGAGAGGTGAGATCGCAAAATAAACCAAATATAGACCCACCTGTCGGACGAACTGGTCGAGGAAGCATTGGCCAAGCTGATGACGATGCGCATGCCATTCGAGACTGTGTACCTCGCGGAAAGAGTGGAACTTCTCGACGGCTACATAACGCGTTAACATCAGTCCCACGCACATGCGCATACTGCACTCACCAGTCTGTTCGCGCTTTCGCTTCTTTACCTGCAACGATTGGCCCTCATTGTCGTCGTCGATGCCGAGGTGGATGTTCAAGAAGGCCGAAATTGTCTTCAGCGCGCCGAAGTCGTGAATCGGGGGAGTACCTGACAGGACCCAGTGCCTCTCCGCCCTCAAGCGCGTGACCATCGAGAGCACCTTCCCATCCAGGTAGGTGTACTCGTCGACGATCTTGCGAGCAAAGCGGAACATCTCGAGTGGCGGTGCCTGCATCTTCTTCCAGTTACTTTGCACCGTCGATGACTTGAGTTTCCAAGGGTCGGTATCCTCGCGCCGCTTCTTCTCCTTCGCCGGCTTGGCCTCGGTCTTACGCTTGGCGGGTTGCTTCTTGCCCTTCCCACTCGGCTTCGTCTCTTCCTCGGTGTCGTCGACCTCCATCGCGTCCTCGGATTCGGACGTTGCGGGGGCTGAACGGGGCTTCTTCGCAGGAGCACGCTTCTTCGGGGCCGCCTTGGCCTTGACCCTGCTCTTCTTCGGCTTCTCGTCCTCCTCGTCCTCCTCGTCATCGTCATCGGACTCCTCGAAAGCATCATCCTCTTCACCTTCGGATTCGTTCTCTCCGGAAGCCGACACTTCGAAGTCGGAGTCGTCGGAAGCTTTGGAACGTTTTGCAGGGCGTTTCTTCGCGGCAGCCTTACCCTTCTTCTTGGGCACGTCTTCCTCGGTATCCTCGTCGTCGGAGATGACGATGGCCTTGCGCTTGACAGCGCGGCGTGCGCGAGGAGCGTCCGATTCTTCGTCATCCGGCTCGGCCTCGGACGTAGGTGGGGCGGTGGCGACGCTCAATGCAGGGGACGCACGCCGCTTAGGAGGGACAGGGATCACGACCTCGACAGTCAAACCAGTCCTCGGACTAGCGGCAGGCTTCTTCGCCGGTACAAAAGCGTCGAGCGACTCGTCCTTCGGCTCCTTCTTCACCTTCGATGCCGACTCCTTCTTGACGTCCTTGAAGCCCTTCTTCGGCTTCGCCTCGGTGTCTCCAGCGGCGTCGCGGTAGGACTTGCCCTTAAGCCGCTTTGTCTGCGACACGAGCTGCGCGGACTCGTCTGCGTTATGGACGGGAATGAGCGTTACCCTCCGACTACAAAGACACATGACCACTCACCAATCTTCCGGCCCTCCTTGATTTGCTCCATAACGGCCTTCGCGCCCTGGTCCCTGTCCCGCAGCCTCTCAACCTGCTTCTCGAGGCCCTCGAGCGTGATGTCCAAACGCGCGTCGAAGAACCGTCCGTCCTGCGCCGGGAGCTCGCCCGCGCCCGCGACCGCCTCCAGATTGTCCAAGTAGACGGAGCTCCTGAACAAGTTCGACGCGACGATGACGATATCCGCGTCGACCACGTCCTGGATCTTGAGCGAGTTCAGGTTGCTCGCGGTGTGGAGCGTGACGACCTCGAACCGCGCCTTCGTGAACTTGCGCACCTCGCTCTCCCACTGGCGCGTCAGGTGCGGCGGGACGATGATGATGGTCGCCTTCGTCGCGATGTGGCCCGTCACGCCCTTGCTCGTCTGCTTGAACTCGCGCTCGACGTCGTCCGCTGCGCAGTCGATCAGCCCGAGCGAAATCGCCGTCTTGCCGTACCCGACCTCGTCGGCGAGCACGCCTCCGCGGACGTGGTGCGCGCGCTGCGCACGGCCTTCCGCGCGCCACCCAAGCGGCTCGAGGATGGCTTCCGAGATCTCCTCCTCGATGAACGGCGGGGCGGTCTTCGCCTCCTGCGCGAGCATCCACGTAAGGGAACGAAGCTGCTCGGGACGGAGGTCGAGCTTGAAGCTCGGGGGCTGAGAGTGCTCCTTGTCGGGCCGGTTGCTCGCGAGGACGAACTTGGGGAGGGACAGCTTGACGGCAGGGGTGAAGTCCGTGTTGAGCCGCCACGCGAGCGTCGGGGCCTCCGTCCGTCCGAGCGTCGGGAGGCGCGAGAGCGCGCGGTGCATGAGCGACGTGACGTTCACGCCGATCCTGACGATCCCGACCCCGTTCTCGTCGAGCTTGAGCTGCGTGACGAACGGCGCCGGGCGCCGCTTGAGGCTCCTCTCGAACTCCCCAGCCTGGACCGTGTCCTCCACCGCCATGATCTTCCCCTTCTTCCCCTTCGCCCACCGGATGGCAGGCGAGACGGGCGCGCAGCGGTGGCATGCGATGGCCTTCTTGTGCTCGTGGTCCACGATCTGCCAGTCGGCGAACTGCCCGTCGATGTTGCGGATGCGCTCCGTGAGCCACGCCAGCGCGCGGAACGTCCCGCGCTCGTGCACCTTGTCGACCTCCTTGTACACGAGCTTCGACCACTCGGGCCCGGCCTGCGCGCCGAGGGGGACCTTGCAGACGAGCAGCGCGCTCGCGCTCTTGCACGCGTCCTGCGAGACGTCGATCGAGATGCCCTCCGCGGGCGTCGCGAACAACGCGTCTTGGCCAGAGGCGGGCTGCAAGCGCACCATGCATCAGCAACCAGACGCAGACTACTCGCGGGAAGAGACGTACCGTCAGCATGACACCCTCCGCCCGCACCCACCGGCAGGGCAGCACGCAGTTCACGCTCTGCACGCCCTCCACGTCGCTCTGCCTCCACCGCGGCTCCAGCGTAGCGATGATCGGCCGGCTCTCGCCATACTCGTACCTCCTCGTGCTCGTAGAGAACACGAACGCGTCCGCGCCCGGCTCCCCGCACCGCGTCGGGTCGAGCAGCAAGAACACAGGCGGCACCCGCCCCTCCTCGCCCTCCGCCGGCGCGCGCCGGTGCAGCCCCGCGTTCGCCGTGCCGCACCTGTCGATGAGCGTATACGTCCCGCTCACATCGCGGTCGAACAGCGCCGCCGCCGCACCCGCAGGGACGCGCACGTCGAGCCGCGCGTGCACCATCCGGCTCTTGAACTCGTCGCCCAGCAGGCCGAGCTTCTGCTCCCAGGCGGGCACGAGCTCGCCGCTGCCCTCGATCTCGACTTCGACCTTCGCGACGCTCGGCAGCGCCCACTCCCACGTGCCCGCGAACAGCGCGGTCGTGCACGCGAAGCGGCCCACGGGGAGCTCGAGCACGCGCCGGATCTCCGCGTTCGCGGGCGCGCTGTCCTCGGGGAGCGCGAAGAGGCGCCATTGCGGCTGCTGCGGGTGCAGGGAGAGCTCGAGCTTGGCGGTGGGCGACTGGTAGACGACCGACCACGTCTCCTGGCGCTTGGGCTCGACGAAGCGGAGCTCCTTCTCGGCCGCGCGGAGGACCGCCGCCCGCCATTCGGTAAAGCGGGACGAGGAGGTATCGACGTCGTGGGACTGGGCCGCGGCGTTGAGCGCGGCCTTGCTGACACCGGAGAGGGTAAGCGACATAGGGAGGAGCGCCTTCAAGCCCTTCTCGAACGTCGACGGCGAGAGCCTCGGGTGCGCCTTCAGATCAATAGGCTGATAGTTGTGCTCCGGCCTCCCTCCACACTTGACACACGACGTCGAGTCGCAGTCCACACAGCGGTTGAGCGTCCGGTCCGTCATGTCCTTCCGTCCCTCACAGCTGCACAACCTCGCCGAGCGCTGCGCCTCCTCAAGGATGCCCTGCAACGACAGCTGCGACGCCGCCGCCGCGAGGTTCAGCGGGCGCTGCAGCAGCTGCTCCTCGCCCGTGACGTGCGCCTCGACGTCGTCCGCGGGCGGGTCGACCTCCATCACCTCGTCCTCGTCTTCTTCCGTCTTCCTCCCGCTCGGCGCGGCCCCGTCGTCCTCGACCATACAGTCCTCGCGGACCTGCTCGTACGTGCGGCTCTCGTCGCCCGCCTTGAGCAGCCGGCGGCCGACGACGAGCGCGGCGAGCATGCACGCGCCGACGACGGTCGTGGACATCGCGTTGCCCGCGAGGTCCGCGAGCTGGTCCTCGGTCTCGCGCGTGAGCAGGAGCTCGTTCACGGGGAGGCCCTGCATCGAGAGCGCCTCGAGGCCGACCATCGGCCCGCCGCGGTTCGTGATGTACGGGATCATGGTGGGCGTGAGGCACGGGCAGATGCCGGGCTTCGACGAGCCGGTCGAGCGGTCGACGTTTTGGGAGAGGTTCCATACTTGGCTGGGGGCGGGACGCGTGAGCGCGGGAGGCGAGAGGAAGAGAGGGAGGACTTACGTCTTGAAGGAGGGGTCGACGCCCTTCTTCGCGGACCGGAGGAGGCTGATGTCCATCAGGTCCCAGACGCGCTCGACTTGGCCGATGCCCCAGTCGTTCCACGCGAAGTCGGGGAGCTTGCAGAAACCGCCTGCAGGCTTGCGTCAGAGGTATGATCACTACATCATTCTGGTAGTCTATCGACTTACCCTCTTCCCAGCTGGTCAACGGACGCTTCGTGCCCAGCTGTTCTTCGAGTCGGGCGCGCTGGTGCCGACTCTCGCAGCGACCCCAGTCGGTGCGGCCGCGCGTGCCGCCGACGGTGTTGTACGCCTCGTTTGCGAGCTTCTGGCGCGCCTGGTGGATACGCGGGTCGTCGGTGGGCAGGAGGAACGCGTCCAGGGTCGAAGACGCGGGCCGCTTAAGCTCCTGGATCTTCGCCTTCCACTCGTCGGGCATCCTGGAGTGCTTCTTGTCGACGGCGAGGAGGTAGACGCGGGTGCGCGTGTGCGGAATGTAGAAGGTCTTGGTGTCGACGCGGAGGTAGCTGGCGGAGTAGTCGGTCCGCTCGAAGTAGTCGACGACGCGCTCCCACGGCGCGCCGCAGACATTCTCGAGGATGACGAGCGGGGGCCGGTGGTTCTTGACCCAGGACATCATGCCGCGGAAGGTACGGCCGGACTCGCCGTTTGCGTCGATGTCCTGCTTCTCGTTGTTGAGGTTGGAATAGTCGACGCAGGATGTACCCGCGACGAGCAAGTCGACGTCACCGGGTACCGGAGCGAGTGCTCCGTATGCGGTGGTGCTGCAAACGCGTTAATGACGAGTCGTCGACAGAAAGAACGTCATTGTGTGCTTACGCTTCGTCGTCGCCAAGCTCACAGACATCACGGAAGAGGAGGGGCGGTTGGAAGTTGCGCTCGATGTAGGCCTGCTTGAAAGGCTCGATCTCGCAGGAGAAGACGTGTTCGTAATCAAGCGACACGCCGAAATGTGCAAGAATATATCGCTGAACGAGATTCAGCGCAAGAAGAGGGGACTCTGTGCCGGAACACATGGTCGCGACGCGCATCTTCCTCCCCTTCAGGTGCTCTGCGACGTCCTGGATTTCGGGAATACGAGAGACGAGGTCGGAGAAGATCGCGGGGATGTCGTGAATGGGAGGCAGGTCAGAGTTCTCTATGGAGCTTCCCTTTGCAACCTCGCCATCTCCATCTGCGGTAGCCTCCTGGTCGGAAGCGTCGTCGACAGTATCGTCCACTAGCTTGTCGTCGGAGGGTGTGTCATCATCCGGCTTGTCGTCTTGAGCCTTGCTAGACTCGCCAGCCTTCTTGGGTTTCGCAAAGAACGAAGTGATGGACTTCTGGCCCTTTGCACGAGAAGATCTCGGGGCGGGAGGCATGATGGGGACGAGGTCAAGGGTGCGGACAAGGGGGGGAGCGGAAGGGGAGTCGTGGGAGAAAGCGCGATCGGACGCGACGCGAGGCCATGCGCGTGTGCGTCCGTCACGCTCACGTCAGGTAACGTGTGACTCCGCCTTGTGACTGGGCGCGTGTCGATCGCGCAAACGTCGGCGCCAATATTCTCCCCTCTCCTCCTGCCGCAGCTGTGGGCTCACATAATTGCACTCGGCCGATAATATTCATTGTCAGAAACCACTACTGCGCCTAGCACTTGACAAGTAGGTACGCTTAACGCAGACCGAATGCCTTTGTAATCTGATTAGTCACACTCATGGGCGAGTCATACTCACACAGGCGATCCACCCTAGCAGCGCTGTAGGAGGCGCCCAATATGTCAAGGCAGCTATACAGCAGCATCCAGAACAGCCTAGACAAACGCTTCGGAGGCAACCCCTTCACTTTCTTTGACCGAGCATACCTTGTAGACTGGTCAGCGTTTTTTCCTGCGTGGTTTTCACCGCATATTGATTCCAGCTCTCCCCAGGGTGGCTTCCTCCCTCTTGTGGCTAGCTGCTTGGTACATCAAGGGACTCCCGCCTTTCGAACGCGATTTTAGCACAAAGGATGACCTCATTGACCATAAGCACCGACCGAACCAGTACGGAGTGCGTTCCTCTGCACAAGTCGGTCGTCTCGCTCATGCTTGCTCTGCAGGATCAGCGGCGGAGTGAACTGGCTTATCGCCTTCATAGTACCCATTGTCATCAGCGTCTTGTGGGGAATTGTGCGCCGTTCCGCCCTCGAGGTACACCATGGCGTCCTGGCGATATACTCTGGAAGGTGACAGTTTCCGTCCGTACTACGTCGCTATCCCTACACTGACTACGACGATCTCAGAGGCCTGACTGTCTTCATCACCGAGGCACTGAAAAACAGAGTGGGTAAGCCGCGCCACGTCGCACCCGCAGTCACGCGACCACTAAAGCCCCCCTCCGCCAGGTCGCCTCCGGCCCGACTTCCTCCACCGCTGCAAATGGGACAAGGAGCTCAAAGCGTGCACAGGGTCTGCATCTCCTCGCCTCTTCCGTCTGTTTTTCCCTTCCAACTGAACGCTGCACGTTGCCCCTCGCGCAGGGAACTCGAGAAGGTCATGGACGGCCGCAGGTCCTTCCCCTCGGGCCACGCCTCCACCGCGTTCGCAGGCATGACCTTCCTCGCGCTCTACCTCGCCGGCCTGACGGGGGCCTGGCGCCTCGCGCAGCCCGCCCAAGGGGGCTCCCTGCTTCGCAGCAAACTCGCGCGGCTCGTGCTCACGCTCCTTCCCCTGGGCTTTGCGACATGGGTCGCCGTCTCCCGCGTGGAAGACTACGTGCGTACATCCGAGTCCCTAGGTTCAAACCCTGTCGCCTCGTGTTCTCCCATGCTCTCAGTGAGGGGATCCATCCGTATTGGCTTTGCTGACGGTGCCGTTGCACAGAGACACCATAAAGAAGACGTGATTGTTGGGAGCTTGCTGGGGGTCGTTTGCGCGACGATATGCTACCTCATCTACTGGCCGAACCCGTTCGCGCCCTCGCAAGCCTTTACCGCTCGTGCGGTCTACGGCGGTGCGGATGCGGACTCGGATCGCGTCCGTATGCCCAACCCGCAGAGATACGGGTATGAACTGACTGGGTTGAACGAAGAACATGCAGAGCAGAGTGTATGATTGTCAATGAGCGAGCTGGATTGATATCTATGATCATATTAATGTGAATGGGGGACAAGAGTTGTGCCTGGAAAGTGCACGCTGCCTAATGCTTAACGGTAAGAACCACGAGTCCCAGGATACGTCGACGACAACACGAGTCATCGTCCGCTCACGTCCCACGCACAAACATCCACTTGTCCCCGACCTTCTGCATCTTCCCCGTGCTCCCAACTTCCCCTCCGCCGCTCTCGCTCTGTTCTCCCTCACCCTGGCCTCCCAGACCACCGACCCCCGCATCATATGACAACGACGTCGGCACCTCGTACCCGCCGGGCTCCTGCCACGAATGGTCGTCGCCGTCCTCACCTCCAGTGAGCGTGACGGCGTCCGTGTCCATGTAATCGCCTTGTCCATACCCGTATCCTCCCCCTCCTCCCCCTCCTCCTCGTCCTCCATACCCGCCGCGACCTCGGAATCCACCGCGACCCCCGCGCCCATACCCTCCCCCATAACCCGACTCGTCAGGCCCATAGCCGTCCCCATACCCATCGCGCCCGGACCCACGGAAGTCTCCCCGGCCGCGGCCGCGTCCCCGCCCACCCCGCGGCGGCCCGTAATCTCCCCGACCGCCGCCATACCCCCCGCGCCGCCCGTCATCATCTCCCCCTCCGCGCCCTCCGTACTCTCCCCCCCGGTCCCTCCCATACCCTCGCCCCCGGCCCCCTCCTCGGTAGCCCCCGTCGCCGTCGTCCCTCCCGCCCCTTCCGCGGAACCCTCCCCCCGCCGGACCGGGGCTCGGGCCCCCATCCTCATAGTACCCCGACGTCCTCCTCCCGCCGGGCGCGCGCGGCTCGTCGTACCCGCCCGCATACTCGCCCTGCTCGGGCGCACCGGAGGCAGACGCGGGCAAGCCGGGCATGCCCCCGAAGACGAACTGCACGAGCTGCTCCTGCGTCGGCGCCGCGCCGTGCGTGGCGGCCCACGCCTCCCCGAGCGCGACCCACGACTGCGGCTGGGAGGGGTCGAACGCGGCGCGGTCGAACGTGTCCAGCCCGCCCTGCGGCTGGTCGCGAGAGCCAGAAACGGACGCGGGGATCGTAGAGGCGGAGTGGGGGAGGGGTGCTGACGACGTGGAGGGCGAGAGCGACGCTACCGTCGACGTCGACGCAGAGGTGGCGGGAGGGTACGATGCCTGCGCTGGGCGGGAGGGGCTCGTGAACCTTTGCAGCTCGTGCTCGGGCGCGGCAGACCCGCGGTCCGACGCGGTGGCTGAGCCTGAGCCGGGCGGGAATGGCGAGTCGCCTCTCTTGCTGCGATCCGCCGCCGCACTCCCCTGGGCGTGCAGATGTTGAGTGGCAGAGGCAGAGTCGGACCCCCCGGGAGCATCAGGCGATCCCGGCCTCAGCTCCCTCCCGAACTCGTCAAAGCCCGTCGCAGCGCCATCCGGGCCGGTATTGTACATGTATCGCTCGCTGTATCGGTCTTGCTGTCTGTATCCGCCCCCATCGCGCCCTAGTTCATCCTGGTCACGATGGTCGCGGTGTCTTGGGGGACTGTAAGGGCGCCCACGGCCGCCCCCAGCGCGGTAGCGGTCGGACGGGCCAGGGCTGCGCGAGCGGCTTTGACGCCTGCCGCTGTCGGGTCGTCGAGAGTCGTCGTAGCGGTCTCCGCCGTAGTCCCTGTCCCTACCATCGCGATCTCCGCCGCCTCTGCGACCACGGTCGTCCCACCTCCCACCGCCGCTCCCCCGGCCGCGCCCCCGCCCAGGCCCGCCGCGCTCGCGGTAGCTGCCTCTGGGATTTGGTGGCGGGGGCCTGTCACGGTGGTGGTCACCGCGCGGATCGTGTTCGCGCCCATGAGCGTACGGAGGGCCGTGTTCATAGCCAAAATTGGCGTTAGGATAAGGAGCATGGTCGTAGCCGTGCTCACTACCGCCACCCTGCTCGTGACTCGGTTTGGAAGGCGCATTGACAGGAAGGTCGTGAGCGCTGCCGTAACGACCCTCGCGGGAATACCCGCTGCGGGGATCTGTTGTTGCTGCTTCGGGACCGTACCGGCCGTACTGCTGGGGCGGTTGGTGCTCTGACTCTCGCGCGTGCGCACTGGGAAGACCATACTGGTCATCTCGATACGGAGGCTGCAGGGGCAGAGGCCCGCCGGGCACATGTGTAAAGGCATGAGCAGGGGGTACTATAGGCACAGCACTGTTCGATGGCACTATCGACGCGGATACAGGCGGCTGCTGTGGTACGAATCCGGGCAGCTGCAGCTGTCCAGATATAGGCCCGACGTCCTTCGCTGTCTGTGCAAACTGGTGAAGGAAGGCGAGCTGATTGGCGTCCAGTGCTGGGACGGCCGGAGCAGACGGAGCAGGCGACACAGGGATAGCGGTATTTGGTGCTGTTTGGCTGGAGATGAAAGGAAAGGAAGGCAGACGCAGTAAGCATCGCGCTTTTCGGGAAGACTTGAGCTCGCTGCTTACCCAGGGACCACGCCCTGCGCCCCTACGGCACTAGCGGCCTTGCTCAGGAGCGCCAGGAGGGCGGACTGTACGTCTATACTAGCCGGAGGCGTCACGGAAGGCTGCGGTGCGGGGGCTTGGTTGGGAAGAACAGCGGACGCGCCGTGCGGGTTATCAGGCGTCGGGTTCGCTAATTGGTTCACTGGATTGCCGGGCTCTGACACGGACAAAACCATATTTTAGTTCATATCTCACAGATTTCAGGGTCCGATATGTGGGCAAATGAAATGGATTGCATAGGAAGATAGTACTTAGCGAACCAATAGGACAAAGCATAAGCACCTTTCTCGTTCTCTGCCTGCTTCAGCAAATCGAACAGGGGTGACAGTACAGCGGAAGGGAACGTATTCGACTTCGCCCAGATGTCCAGGATCTTCTTGGCCTTTTCCTGCAGAGCGACGTCAAGGTTTCGTCAGGTTACACCTTTCCACTCGCCACGAAGCCCAAGGGAAGAACGCAATTCCATCCTGTGACCGTGCAGATATCTCGTGCACCGCAGCGCGAGGTCGTTATGCCGCGTTAGTGCCTAGTTGTCGGTGAAGGCCAGGGTCATCTACCGTACAGGCTTCTGCGAAGCATTTCCTACTAGGAAGCGTTGCTCGATGCAGGCTGCTAGGCTCGCTTTAATCTGCTGCTAGATACGCAGAGATGCAGCCGAGGACTACAGACAACCGGTAGACCTTATAGGACAGGACATGCGCAGACGACGATACGGTCAGTATCGGACACTTCGTACTAACCTTCAAATCATCGGTTCCGTTCGTCACCAGATCCTGGAACAAACCATCGAGGATGCCTTCTATCTTCAGCAGGAAAGTAGCACTGTTCCCTTGCCCGGAGTTCAGATCCGCGACAGCGCGGTTTTTGTTCGCCTGATGCCGGGCAGCACGGGCAAGCGCATCAAACGCGTACAAGCTGGCAGTCTTCCCTGAGACGGACAAGGCTTTATGTGTCCGATATAAAATCGACACCATCTGGGTATCATTCTACAGACGACAAAGGGGCGACGCATAAACAGAGGTCAGTACCGAAGACGACGGCGGCATAGCGCCTCGCGCACATCAAGGAAGCAGCTGCAACGGAGTCTACGGACGCACCTGCATACACTTCATCGCTATCTCCGTTAAGGAGTTCATCTTGGACTGCGAGAGTCGCTTTGCGTTGACGACATCCTTTAATGCAGTCTCAAATTCCTAAAACCGACGAGTGCGAGGGGATGAGAACCACTTCGGATAATTGGCAAGGCGGATATCCATACTGCGATTGAGACCATTTGGGACCATTCAGGACTGAGAAATCACTGCGACAGGTATAGACGAGGACAGGAAGACGTGCGGGAAGAAACAGGACATGCTTCCTCCCGCCAATACAAGGCGAAACTGCTTGCCATTGTTTGGCTGGTCCGTGCGCTTCCCTCGTGATTTGAAGTAGTGGATCAAGCGCCCACCATCATCGTCCGCTTTCACCACTCTGCTACCAAAGGACTCTGACAATGTACTGACGGAAAGTACTGGGTAATACAAGATGGTCGCCTGTGACAGAAATGGGAGAGGTAGGTGTGTATGAAAGCATAGAACAGGAAGCCTCATGCCGCGTGCCACCTCTGGCGAGAAAGAAGTACGACGACGATAATTAGCGCACAGGGTGACCCTGCTGTAACTTATTGATCGTGCTCGCCCTCAGCGGCGTCTCAGCGAACAGCGCCTTCACCAGCTTCACCAGTTCGTTGATCTCAAAGTCCACCAGCGCCCCCTCCTCAAACAAATACGAGATGTCTGCGATCGAAGCCTCCTACAAGGTGAGACAAGGACGACGACAGAAACAAGGCGCGAATGTGAGCAACGATTCCGCAAGGATATGGAAGAAGATAACGCACTAGCAACTCGGACAAATACGAGAACTTGAGCCACGAGGAGACGTATGACACCACGAACGAGGGCTGGTCGGGGTCCTCCACGAACTGCCCCTCCAGCGCATTCAGAATCCGACAAAGTTCGCTCAGTCGATGCGATTCGGTCTCCGTGATATCCTCCAGCGCCAGGACGTCCCCAAGGATGCGGGCCAGCGCCGCCTCAACGATTGAGCCCAGAGCGTCATAATACCTGCTCTTTGTCAAGACCGCCTTCACAGCCAGAGCTATCAGCGTCCTGACCAAATTCAATCGCCATGCGGCGCTGCGTACCTTCCACTGCGGCGCGACTCTCCGGATGCGCTGCAAGACATCATTGATAGCCTCCTCGCACTCGTCGTACCGTTCCTGCTGGGTCGTATCCATGAATCCAGACGCCTTGTCCAGCATCTCATCGATCAGCCTCTCTTCCCTCGCCTGTCAAAAGTCATCAGTAACCACAAATAGGGTTCCAGCCCAACAAGCCACTTACGATAGCGTCCTCGAACCAGCTCTCCCCAAGAACCTTCAGCCTCTCCACTGCCTCCTCGAGCTTGTCCCTCGCCGCCGCCTTCGGCCCGCTCAAGCCCGCCACGATTCGCCTCAGTTCCTGGCTAGCGTACAGACAGTCATTGGAGAACTTCATCGGTTCCTTTGGCGATTGCTTCAATAGTGCAGCGTTCGTCACAGGCACTAGTGCACGAAAGAGCTCGAGCGCCATTGGGGCTGCCTGTACGATCGTGTTCCCTGGGGAACCTGACGCGGTGGCGTTGAGTATACCGGAGAACACCAGTTCGGCGCTTTCATGGAGGATGTCCTCGAGGAGCTGGAGAAGCTCCTTCATTCTGCCGGAGACGACATAGGACTCAGTGAGTTGCACATGTTTAAGTGGACGACGCGCTAATGGAGGGTTCTTTGCCGCGAAAGGAGCGGGTTGCGGCGCGGGCGCTGGTGCGGGCGGGGGAGTGGCGAAACTCGGCGGTGGTAAAGCAGGCGATTGCGGATTGCTCTTGGCCCCTAGCTTCTTTGCCAGCCCCATCGCCTGCCGAGGAGCCGGGCTTGGAGGTACAGGCGCGGTTGGGGGAGCAGGCGCAGCCGGTTTCTCGTCCCAAGCATCGTCCCACACTGAATCATCCTCCGCCTTCGCAGGCTCTGCGTCGCCATTCCAGCCCCAAGGGTCGTCCTCCTCAATCAGTTCCTCTGCAGGCTCCGGCTCAGATGGCTCCGGAGCTTCCACCACGTGCTCGGGTTCCGGCTCCGGTACGTCGTCGTCAAAGCCCCAGTCGTCTGTAGACGCGTCCTCGCTCTGATTGGGAGTGTCGCTCTCGTCCTCGAAGTCCCATGCCGAGGCATCCTCGGCTTCTGCTGGAGCCGGCTCCTTCGACTGTTCCTTACCGTTGACAGCCACAGGCTCGTCCTCTTTCACAGGGATAGGTCGATCTTCCGCAACCAGCGGGACTTCGGCCCGGAACGCGGTGCTGTCGTCCGCGGGCGTAACGACGATTGCGCGAGCCTTGTCGAGGATGTCCGCCCGCCTCTGCCGCTCGTAGTGCTGGCCGACCCAATCAACCCACGTCTTGATGCCGCGATCCGCACTGCTATCCCCAAGCAGGCTGACGATAATCTCCTCCTCAGCCTCCACAGCGTTTTGCGTAAGCTTTAGGAAGTCTGGGAGCTTCGACAGGGAGGACGGTAGGTTCGGCAGGAGTAGGAGGTTCAGAATAGCCGTGCGCACAGGGGTAGCCAGGGAGAGCACGAAGGATTTACGCTCTGCCGGGGGGAAATTTGAAAAAAGATGTTCGTTGAGGAAGGTCATGATGCTAGTGAGATTAGACAAGCGGAGGGTGGGGTCTTCACTTCCAGGGGCAGCACGCTGAAGGGACAACTTGTACTCGATGACACCTGTGATGTCCTGGATAGTGGTGTCGTAGATTTGCATTGGCTGCTTCAAGACGTATTCGACGCAATGTGAGATGTCGCGCCTCAGGGTTGCCAGGCTTGTGAAGAGCGTTGCAGGAGATATGGCCGCAAGGAGTGCCGGGAGCTCGATGGTAGTGTCGATGCTGTCACTAGGGATCATGGACTGTGTCCATGTCCCATTATGCAATTGGCGCGGTAGTACGGCTTGAACCGAGGGTCTCACTATAAATCCAGCCTCCGAAACGACGATGCTGCGTGAATAGGCGTCGAGGAGTTGCTCCTCTGTACGACTTCGCAAGGCCGTGCATTTGCGCTAAGGACGGGAGGCGCATCAGCATGCAAGACCTGATTTATACCCTGTCACCAAAATTTCATCTCTCCGCACCCTCACGCTAGCATACCGAACGCCACGCGACCGCGATTACGGATGAAGTCTTCCCCCTGTGTCTGGGTAGAATGGGAACCTCGCTTACGCCATGGTCGTCTGTTGTTCCGGAGAGTGGGATGAGTGCGCGAATGTGGACGAAGGCGAGTCAACCTGTGTCTCTCAATCCTTGTATCCAAGCGAAACACATTCGCGCACGTCTGATGTCTTGCTAGGAATTCATCACAAGTACCCGGCACTTATCTATAAGCGACCTCTATCATCAGAGCGAGATACTGCTCCAGAGACGAGAGGTCTCGGAGGAATCAATCAAACCCTGAGAAATGGGGAGGCCGTTCTCGGGTTTATATAACGTCTTAAGTGCTCGGATCATCTTCAATGCGCCACTGGAACACCAAAATCAAGGGGCACAGGGTTACTTCCGTTCAAAACTCATTCGCACTCAGCCGGGTGTCCGGGAAAAGAGAGCGGACGCGGTATACGAGAATTTTCGCATTTTCCCCGTTGTCGGAGTGCGGCTGTCCCGCTGCCGCGGTTGCGGTCAGACAATGCGAGCGACCGAGTGCAGCAGCGTGTTGTCTACTCTCGTTCGCTCGCATACCAAGATGCACTGCGATGGTACGGTGCGAGGCAAGAACCGGGATGCGCCTCTTCCAAAATTGTGTAATGCTGCGTACCTTCATGTCTGCCATAACCTCGCTCCTCACAAGCGGTTCTGGAGCGTCCGCGAACAGCCTTGCCAACGAAGCGCACGCCGTCGTGGCATCCGCAAGTTCTGCCTTCTCCACAAACCGCGTAAGCCGCCTGAGTTCGTTCCTACAGTGAAGCAAGTGGCTGAGTGCCGCGTGCTGGGCGCGTGCATCCGCAGTCTCTTGCGCGACTTTGGCGTGGCTCATGAGGGAATTGAGGAGGTTGGGGATCAAGCCTGACTTCAGTGCCGTCAATACGCGCGAGACGGGAATCATCCATGACATAGAGGACTCACATGTGGGTTGGATATGCTGTCTTGAAGCCCATCGACGTTGTGGGAGAGCGAGCGGAGTCGTTCCTGGACTGACACAGACGTAGCGAGTTGTCGCTCAAAGTCTGGCAAGTTGCTGGATATACGTTCATGTATTTGGGTCTTGCGACATTCGGTTCAGCCTCCTAAGTAGCCGGAGAGGAAGCTAGAGACGCACCTTCGTGAGCCCGATTGTGTCATCCAACTCTGCTACCCATGACGATGCAACACTCGCGCTCAGAGCCTTCAGCGGTGTTTCCGAGACCTTTGTGAGTATTCGGGTGGCAACGTCGCGGGCATCCTTTTTGCGAGGTAGGTGGGTGGGCACAGGAAAAGCCATAGTCAACGGATGTCGCTGGAGTACACGCCTTGAACCCAGAACACGCAGTCTGATATATGCGCTCGATCAATGAGAGAGTAGCAGCATGGTCGGGAGGGAGGAAAGGAGTCTGCACACCGGATTCCACGCTGGCGGCACGTCATAACCCACGCCGGCCCGTTGCTGCAACGTTCAGTACCATGGGCGCTATGGATGCGGTGCACATATTCCTTGCCAACAACTTCGTCGACATTCTGTGTCATTTCGCATTTCTCCGTCCTCGACAACCCCAATATGCATCGACCATCTTTCCGCCCCCCCATCTTTGTGCACACGAGGCAAAATAAACGGCCAGCGGTGCCCCACTACCCTCCAGTGCTTCATTGCGCGTCTACGTAGTGCGAAGACATCTGTCAAACCTACCGGGTCATTGACATGAAGATGGACTCGGAGGCGCAACCTTTCGACGGTCGATAACGCTTCACCGGGCCGCCTATCCATATGTCTTTGTTCAGTGACTTCCAAAGGCATATCGTTACCGACCTGTTGTCGGACTTTTCTCTATTCCGAGACTACGGATCGGGTATGTGTATCGGTCTCTGTCTCAACATGTCTTGCTACTCATCACCTATCTCACACAGGGTAATCTTACAGGGGACCCCTTGCCTGAGCTCGATGCTTGGTCCGCAAGCATCGCAAGAGCGTGGACCTACTCGCTCTCTTCTTCCTCCGGCTGCCTTCCACTCCGGAGACTGTGCAAAGGACCGGCAAACGTTGTCTTGTGACATAGCACAGTTAACGGTGGGCCGTTATCTGATGGATACTGTAGTGCTCTGGAGCCTTGAGGTGTTAGTTTGTGTTCGAGAACATCCAATTCCATTTTCTCTCCCGACATGCACGGAACTGGCGGCGTACTGACAACACTCTACACCGCGACCAGTAGTCTTGGCTCCGTACTTCCGCTGTGATCGCATCCGACGAGCGCACTGTTTCGGAACACCGGCTGAAGACTCACTGTCTTTTCCTACCTTCCATCCTACCTTGCGGACGCGTTGACAGATTCAGGTATATGATCTTCGGCTGCAGTGCAATGTGGGATTGCTGGAATGGGGGTCCACAATGCCATTGCTCTTTCCGGACCGCCAGTGGACTATAGGGCCGGAGTATGATAGAAGGCACCTGTCAGTCATGCTACACAGGCGTGGACGAGGAACACTGTGCAGAACATGCGTCGCCGCTTTGACCGGTATGACGACTGGGGTCGCGAGAGGCTGCTTCAGCAGTATATCTGCATGTCCTGCTGGTTGCTCCCCTCCGAGCCGTCTTCACTCTCGCCCTGCCACTCCAAGTGACTAATCAGACGACCGCCTACGATGACGTACACCCCTAGCACTACGGTGGAGATCTTCCGCGCGCTGTATGTACCTCAGTCAAAGCTGATATAGTAGCCGATACGGCTGATGACTGACCGATGTTGTCCCCTTCCCACTGAAGCCGCATCGAGAACTACTGCCTCGTCGCAGCGAACGGTACGCGCCATCCCGAGTCGAAAGCATGAATGACATAACTAAAGAAGTTTCATCGCCTAGTGCTCTATGTCTATGACTACTTCATCACCCTCGGCGTCGAGGTGGAGTTCTTCTGGAACAGGTCATTCAGCGGGGCCGTGCTACTCTTTGTCGGAAACCGATATTTGACTCTGGTCAACGTCGTTACCGACTACCTCCAACTTTTGCCACTTAGCGCATTCAGCGGTAACAAGGTACGAGATACCACGCTCAAGTCGGTGCTCGCCGACGTCATACTCACCGTGCCTTCACAGAGGTACTATCTATCATAGCCATATATGGTGTCCGGTGCGCTGACTTTGACAAGCTGTGCGCTGTATCAGCGGGGAGGGCTAGGTGTCGTCTGGCTAGAGCTCTTACCTCCGGCAGGTATGCACGTTACCCACGTCTGGGATCCGTCCTCATGGTCACTTGATCTAGTTTTCTCTTGCCTGCGTGCATATGCTCTCAGCAAAAACTGGCCGTTAGCACTGATAAACTCGGGGCTGTGAAGACAAAGATTAGATCCGACTAGAGTCGAAGCAAGATCTTCAGTCAGTAAGGAAAGACTATATTGCAGCAACGAACTGTACCTAGAGTCGAAGCAAGACTACAAAGGTTAAGTAAGTAACTACAAGTTAGAGGTAGATGTAACGAAGTACTCACTCTTCAGTCAGTAAGGAAAGACTGAAGAGGGAGGACGCAATCTGAAGTCCTTATATACTACAGAGAAGTGTCCATGACTAATCGAAGAGTGGTTAGTCACATGTACCATAGTGCGATGAATAATACGATGGTGAAAGAATTGCGACGTATCACACCATAGGATGAGTAAGAGATGAGTAAGGCATAGACCTGTCTAGACCGTTCTGGAGTAGTACGGATTGTCCTAGACAGTACCAGAAGAGTCCGGAAGCATAGCTATAGTACACGAGCAGAGAGTCCCAAATATGGTAACATACTACATAAGCGACTACAGCTAAGCGCTAGGAGACGCATAGCCTCGTGTAGTCCGGACCGGATAAGTCCAAGTTCAACAGTCCAGCTGGCTGATCGTGATGATGCTATATTATGATGAATCGCCG